AATAATGTTAAAATGTATTTCAGTTCACATAACAACATTCTAACGAGTTATTTATTTTGACTATAAAAACACTCGTCTTATTTCCCTTCTTATTGTATTTTATTGATAACACTCATATTATTATTTCCGAATGTACTTTATCTTACATTTACTTTATTCAAATGTCTAGTCGATTTTACTCATGCATAAAAATGAAGCCAGAAGGTTGTGTGAGTAGTGCCTTGATATGATGACGATGAGCAGTAGCAATAAATTGTGCTCGAAACGTGGTCGCATCAGTAAATATTCCTGTATAATACTACACTGTGTGATATGATCAAAAACTTAAATTTTATCCATAAAGGAAATATACTCTACCAAAGTGATCAAGTTTTATGTCGTTATCAATAAGATCTTGGCTATTATTATTCTGCTAATATCTGAGGGGAACTTGGAGCTTCAGCAGAAGACCATCCTTTCGCCCAGTTGTCTACAGTTCTCTTCGGCTGGCTTCACAGTTGCTCATGTTCTTTCATCTCCTCCTCCTCGAATGATGTCCTCCCTGAGGCGTCTAACCACTTCTTAGCCCATTAGGAAGACAACCCTAAAATAGCTAGGAGTTTTTCTTAAGGAGGATGCTTTTTTTCAAGACTGTGAAGGTTATTTTATGCCTTTCTCTTGTTTATATTTATTTATTGATTTATTTAAACGCATAAAAACTTGGTACACTATGGCACCAAGAAGGATGCCCCACACAATAATAATAAAACAGCATAGATCAAAAGAAAAACAAAGAAAGAAGAGAGAAAAATATATATAAGTGGAGAACGGATAAAGAATTTCATCTGGAAGGAAAACAGTCATGCTTAACAAGTTCAAACAGTATTCGTTAACTATCATCGGGAAGGGAAGAAAGAAGGAAACTGCAACACGTGTAACAGCACGCGATAAGTTTCATTGATTGTTTGTTGCTTCATTCAATTCCTTGTGTGAGGGCTGAGATACTTCCCGGGCGCCCAGACCGAAGCAGGTGGTTTTTATCAAGGGACCACCCCCCGAGCCTTTGACTTGGAGTCTAATCCGCAAGGCAGCGGAGCAGCGTCAGGAGCTGCATTCGCATGGTTTCCGGTGATCCATATAGGTTCATACGCCATTTGATCTGATTGGATACTGGAGCCCATTTACCCCATGGTAACTGCTTTTAGTTTAACCGCTATCCAAACAACCTTCCTGACATGGTAGGACCTGCAGGGACAAAGTCCCAGTCAGTTTAGCATGTTGGGTCACATTACTGTATTCAAGCCCGACCACCACGACAAGGTAGCAGTTATCGGTCGGGACTCTTGTTTATCCTCTTGATTGGTAAAACTAAGGCTGATTTCTAGATTACTATGAGATTTGCAAGATTTGAAGAAACTTCATTCTGCGATATGGTTTATTACAGCTACATTACTGCAATTATGCACGATCTTTTTTTTTGATAATTTTCACGATTCTTTTCAATAGTTATTATTTATAAAAATGTGCAGTAATTTGTAGGAAACAAATACGGAGTTCACTTGAGCTTGTTTGTTGAGATTTGATTTGTTTCACGTTTGATCATGGAATGATCATGTCAGTTACAGAACTATTGAAAACCATCAGGGCTTATCGGACAACTGTTTCGTCTTAGTTTGAGACTTATCAGCAGTACACATCCATCTGGATTCGAAGGCAGGACCTTCCGCTTATAAGACCAGCTTGTAGACCACTTCGTGGGCAAATTTGAAACCCATGAAACCTTAACAAACAAACTCATGAAGATTAATCTGTTGCCAACTAGTGACTGACTGGTTACAGAACGAAGTTGTCTTCACTTTTAGAGTGAATTCGTCAATCCACCGACAGGTCGAGAGCGAGGACAAGTACTCACCAATGACGTCAGCTGTCGGCTGCGTCAAAAATAAAAATCAGAAATCGGTAGAAGTTAGAATTTTGTGGGTTGATCACTGGATCCAGCTCGGTGGCTCAATGCCTCACAAGTTTTCCTTGTAACTAGAAGGTTCAGTGTTTGAACTCTGGCGGTGGATTGGTTTTGGCGATGAGTTCAAACCAGCACGAAATACGTGGTCGTTAAGATTAGCGAATACCAATGGAAAATGATAGAGTTATAATAAAGATGCTTAGTTATGCATATTAGACTGCGTAATAAAAAAAATTTCTGAGCATCGGTTTATTATCAGAAGCGTCACGACAAAAGCACTAAAGTGATAATACTTAAGATGTTTTAATTTACTTTAACACACTACTCCTGTATTTTGGTGGTAGTAGAATAATTGCAAACTATGCAAGAGGTTTAGGTTGGATTCCAGGCCAACACACTCCGTAACCCCACCTAATCGGTAGTTGACCCGTGAAAGAAGGACGGCTTGGTGTTGGCCTAGTAACTTCACCCCGTTAAGTGCTATCCCACTTTACTTAGGGCTTCAAAACTTGAAGTTGTATGTTCCCTTTTTGAAAGCACAAATGAAACAGTACATACATTTAGTATAAACTGATAAAGACAATAAGCGGACAATAAGTCGTCGAAAAAGCCTTTTTTCTTCTGCACTGATTAGTTGTATCTTCTATATTTCAATGACGGACCTTCTTGATAATTACTGAGTGGGAAGAGATTACAGTACTTTTTCTGAGAAGCGTTCACATTCAGATGCAGCACTTCTTATATGTGTATGAGTGTGTGCAAAAATGTTTTCCAAGTGTTGGTTTGCCGGGATTTGATTGGTCAGAGGTTTGATCACAAGCTGAAATCGATCACAGAACCACTGGAGAGCTGCTGTTTTCATCATAGTTCACAGCCCTGCAGCAGTACATAACCGCCGGCGTTCGAACCTAGGACCATCTGGTTACAAGGCAAGTTCAATGGACCATTCAGTTACTGGAACCGAATACAACGATGAGCCTATGGATTCCAGCTCACCATTGCCCACTGTCCTCATTTCTATTTGATTTCATCATAGATGCACTGACGAAGTTAAGCCTAACTGACTTCAGCGACTCAGGGATTGACTTGTTACTAGGCAATAATAATCCCGTTGACTTAGAACATGCAGATGATATAGTTATGATTGAGAAAATTTGTAGCTCAGGTGGATGATTTTGATGTGATTGTGTTCTCTGAGCTGCGAAAAACACTACATTTGCCAAAGTGGACGTCCCCTTCGTCTTCGTATCCACGAACATAAGCTAACCGTCAAAAGTCACGATATCTACTCCCTCATATCACTACATACAGACAACCACGGACATCAATTCGACTGGAACAACGTTCAAATATTAGACAGAGGAAACGCCAGGAATGCTAGAGAATTTTTAGAAGCTTAGCATTCCAGTGAATCATCAATCAATAGACACATCGAGAAAGACAAAATTTATCAACCGATAAGAAAGAAACCTCGCACACAAAGGGTGAAAGTTCAAGTCAAAGAAACAGTCAGTTCCAATACAAGTAACCTAGAAGGTGTAAAAACACACAGAAACAACCAATCACGTCCAAGGTCATCAGGAGAGATGATTAGTAAACTCGTGGAGAAATCTAAAAGCTCACTTCAATTCGAATTGAAGTATGAGCTGAAGATGTCGCCTAGTAGGGCGACGAAAGCTTCGCAAATTAGCCATCCATCTTAGAGAACACAACCACATCAAGATGATACAGTCCTCTCTACCAGATGAAGAAAATAACAAAATTCAGAGTCTTCAGAATACGCGATCTTTGAATGTTCGACATGCAGTTCGCTCCTGTCAAATGCAAATAAAATGGTGCCAAAGGACTGGATTGGACTACATCGATTCCTAGCTTAACGATAGACAGGAGTGAAGTGTTTGGTGAAGCGTTTTAATCATCACTTCACTTATTTGAGGAGTCGCATCATACAACGCCAGGGGACTGATCGCTGACGAAATCTCAGCACGGATACGGAAGGCTCGTTTGGCATTTGCCAACTGACGCTATCTGCGGCTTACTAGATGTGATATCCGGCTCGCTATGGATCAAATGACATGCGTACTGCATGGTAGCTCGCTCTGTCCTCCTTTATGGCTGTTGGTGAGATACATGAATGGGAGATGTGAAAAAGCTCTCTTTCTTTGATCGTTGTTGTCTGCGTTCTTTCCCCCGTGTGAAGTAGTATGATAGGGTGAGTAATATTGAAGTTCAGTTCCTACTGTTAGATAAGGAGGGATGGTCAATCGATGCTGTTGTGAGGCTACATCCGTTAAAATGGCTAGCACACGTGTTAGTCATAGCTAATCATCGCCTCCCTTGACAGGTAAGGTTAACTGACATAGTAACGGTCAGGCTGGAAAACAGCTAGTGGTAGTCACACCTGATTATCGTATCAGTTCATGAAATGCATAACAGTTAGCTTAAACCAGCCAGCCACGTATTAGTGTGTAGACTGCTGTCTGATTGGAGTCCTCCAACTGGTAAAAGCAAATGACTGCTGGAGACAGTTAATGATATGGCTCAAAATCCTCGTTCTCAATGGCTAGCGTGAATGCATTCACTCTTCCTCATTTGTCATATCCAATAAAACCCTTTTGTTCTCCCATATTACTGTTGTTTTTCCCTCATTCATACTTCTGTCAATTGTCCCTCTCTCTTTCGCTTTTCAGTATCTCTTTACTCTGTTCTCTTTCTTTTTGTGATATGTGAAGGGAGAGTGGCATTTGAAACTGCTTCATATATGAGTAAAGTCCTACGTTGAAACTACTCAATCAGACTTGTCACCATAACTCCAGGTAACTTCGTGCCATCGGACGTCAGTTGGTGCGCACTGATGAAGATTCCCAAACTAGGAGGATCCAGCTATCCAATAGTCCCTACAGGGTTTCTAATGCTTCTGTAACTGACTGACTGCAATTCACAATCAAATCTTAAATAATTGCCTTTCATTATTTATGAATATAAAATTGCCAGTTATTAAGAATGGTTATACGAAATAATTTATCCCCTTCCTATTTTGCATCATTATCCATTTTAGAAGCTGACTTCAGTTCTCCTGGAAAGAGATACACATCTATGGGGTAATTTCAATTGTATACATTTGGCAGCTCAATCTATCCGACGAAAATTTATCAGTTCAACAGCATGTCAAGACTCGTTATACTATGCATGGCATCAAGGCATACGTGTCAATCTACTTATCCTGTTATGCACTTTAATCTGTCCGCCTCTTTTATTCTCTGATCGTTTACTAGAATGGGAGAATACCTCCTCACTTGTTTATACTGATACATCGTCTAACAATGAAGACTTCGATGAATTTATGAATAATATTAACAGTAATAATCATCCATTGATACATGGGAAAACCTGTAGTCATCAAGATTCAACATCATTTTCTAAATATGATAAAATTAAATGGAAATTTCATGCATTCTACAGTGCGCCAAGAACTAAATTCGCTTTCAATGCGGTAGGTGCTTTTCATCGTTTTATTTTTCCTTTGTGGATAAAATTTATTTCGATAAAGTCTCACAGTGTTGTTATACCGTACTATTTACTGATGCGATGACGTTTCGAGTACAATTTATTACTGCTCATAATCATATAAAGGCACTACTCACACAACTTTCCTTGTTTATATAATTCTATTATTTTTCATCACTTGACTTGATTGTTATTAGTATTTTCCATATTTCGGGTATGATTAGTGAGTCATTCCTATCGCATGTGTCGGGTGTAGCTCATTCTATGCGCAAAGATTCAGTAATCAGTCCCTCTCTCTATCCCTACCGTCCAATATTACTCTTCAGAATTTGGTCTTTTTTCCGACCCTATTGTGTAGCTGTGTGTTAATGAATGCAGTGCAATGTAGTGCTGAGCTTTTCCTTAAATTACTTATCTTCTCGGGGCTATCCATTCTTACCGTAGCTAAATTCTTGTGTTCCGAAAATTTGACTACCCCGATCTACTAGTTTGACCTATGTAGTGCACCTAACTCAGGGTCATTGCAAGCTGATTTGTAAATTATATTATTTTGTTTAATTGGGTGAATCTATTGGATCTTTTAGCCTCGAGGGTTTGTCTCTGAGTGAATTTGTAGGTTTGAGTGCCACCCTAATTCCTGCTTTATTGAAAATCCTACGTAGGGTCTCAGATGTCCCCTAATTATACGGTATAACTGCAGATGCCCTATATTCTCTCTTATTTATGTTATCTTTACTAGTTTCACTATAATTTTAATTTTCGTTTGGCCTTTTTCAATCTTCCTAATGAATTTTATGCGAAAGTTACTTCACACAGACGCCTCTTCTATGTGTTTCATTTCATCGCTTAGGTTTTTTGTTGTACTATTTAGGGCTATTGCTCGGCTTGTTAGACACTTAACCAAGCCTGCCTTTACAGATAACAAGCCAATGAGATAAATTAAATTCTAAATAACTATTAGAATACTTTGGCTTTCTATAAACGCTAGAGTGCAGTCTACCTTCGTCTGTCCGTTTTATTTTAGAATCTAACACTATAGCTAATTCTCCTTGTTCATTTTCCGATTCAAATGTTAATTTTATTCCCTTTACTGGTGAGTTTATATATATATATATATATATATATATATATATATATATATCAAGAAGCTAGAGAGGGATATGTTCCGTTTTCAACACTGTGTGTGTGAAATTGTCATCCACATATATCCACCATATTTTTGGAGTAGGATTAAACATCATCAGATCATATTACTGAATAACACTGCGTGATTTATCAAACGATTACTCTATATTGATGAAAACATAAAAACGCAATGTTCAACTTGGATAGAACTCATAAAATTATGCCTTACAACATACTTTCAATTTAATACTCAAATATATGAGCAAATAAAGGGAGCACCAATGGGATCGCCCATATCAGGATTAATAGCTGAAGCCGTTATGCAAAGATTAGAATTAATAGCTCTACCTATAATTAAACCGAAAATCTGGGTACGTTACGTTGATGATACATTTGTAATAATTAAGAGAAATGATTTAGAATATACCCATAAATTAATAAACAACATATTTGAAGACATCAAATTCACAAGAGAAGAAGAGTTAGATAACAAAATCCCATTTTTAGATGTCTTAATCAGGAGAACCAACACAGGAAATTTAGAAACACAAGTATACAGAAAGTCAACGCACACAGATCAAATACTCAACTATACTAGCAACAATCCAATTACTCACAAAAGAAACTGTGTGCAGACATTGTTTAGAAGAATTCAAACACATTGTAGCACACCAGAGTTGAAAAGAATGGAAGAAAGATACTTACAAACGGTGTTCAAGAAGAATGGTTATCCAAAAAATTTCATCAAAAAGTGTTTAAAATCGAATGAAAGCACCAACAAAGAACCATCACCAAAGACCAAAAAGCAATTCATCCTACCATATATCAGAAACATCTCTGAAATAACGGCTAGAATAATGAAACCGTTTGATATAGATGTAGCACACAAACCAGCTGAATCGCTTAATTCCATCTTATGCAAACCAAAAGATCCGATAGAAAAGGGAGATAAAATTAACACCATTTACAAAATAAATTGTGTGAACTGTAACAAACATTACATCGGCCAAAGTGGGCGTCCCCTTCGAATAAGAATCCAGGAACACAAATCAGCCGTGAAAAGACATGATATAAATTCTTTAGTATCAATACATTCAGACGATCATGGACATCAATTTGATTGGGATAATGTCAAAATCTTAAACAGAGGAAACACCAAATGTGCCAGAGAATTCCTAGAAGCCTGGTACTCAAATGAAAACGCAATTAATAAACACGTTAATATAGATGAAATATACCAACTAATAAGAAGTAAATCAGGTGATCAGAAAGTTTAAAATCCCAATCAATAGAAAACGGTCAATAAATATCTAAAGATGGTTACCGGGAGACTCATGAAGAAATTTAAATCATTTCACTTTATCCTAAATACTGCGCTGAAGATGTCGTCCAGAAAGACGATGAAAGCTCCGCAATCAAACCAAGGAGCTCAGGGAACACTATCAATTGCAAACTTATATGATGTGTTTTTCCTTAAGAAAGTTATGTTGCCAAGTGTCTTAACCGCTTCCTTTACACACCTTTTTTCATCGTAGCACCAGATTTGACAGAACTGTGCATGAATGACTCTACTGGCGATTGGATCCACGTTACTTACCAGACTTGTCTACTTCTAAAACGCAACGTTGAATTTCAATAACTTAGAAATCCTAAATTTTGCCTTTTCACTATATAGCGACAGCAAAATCCTTTTCAGCATAAACCACAGTCTGAAGTCTCCTTCATTGTCACTCACTCTGTTAGTGATTTCCATCTTTTGAAATCTGACTGACTGGATTTAAAGTAGAACTTTGCACAGATGTGCACCGCTTTGAGTTGCCTTTCTCTACCTCTGTGTTGCACACACAAAGCAAGAGAACAGAGTAAAGAGATACTGAAAAGCGAAAGAGAGAGGGACAATTCACAGAAGTATGAATGAGGGAAAAACAACAGTAATATGGGAGAACAACAGGGTTTTATTGGATATGACAAATGAGGAAGAGTGAATGCATTCACGCTAGCCATTGAGAACGAGGATTTTGAGCCATATCTCCAATTGTCTCTAATAGTCTACACCTCCCTACGCAGCTGGCTGGCTGGCTTAGACTAACTGCTGTGGATTTCATTGACTGATGAAGCCATGTTTTGGTTTGACCACCACTAGCTAACTCTTTTCCAACTTGATCCATATCAGTCAGCTAACGTTGCGCGTTGTCGAGGAAGGCAAATGATGACTAGACTAGCATGCGGAACACATGTCACAGCCATCTCAGTCAATCGATGTAACTGCACAATCTCGCCGATTGATTTCCTCTCACACATACCTAACACTCGACCGATGCTGAATCTCATTATGGTTCACCCTATCATACCACTACCCAACGACAGAGAGAGACAGAGATAGAACGCAGGACCGAATTTCAACGGACTGAAATTCTGAATACAGTCCAGATATTGACAATATACTAATCTGGTTGAATATAACATTAAAAATAATTTTATGCCCTAAATTACGCAAATAAATCGGTTCGATACTGCAAAACAATAATAAACAGAAGGCATCATATTGTGTTATACCATGAAAAAATATACAGGTATGTCTTTGTTGTGTGTGTGTGTGTGTTGACCTCTCTCATGACAACCAAACTGCTTTATTAGTCTTCATTTTTGTCTAGTTCTCCGTGTCCAGGTGAATTGACAATAAGTACTACTGATGTAAACAGAATATGTTTCAACCTGAATGACTATGTCTCAGTTTCTATCGCATAATAATACCAATGCTGATACATACATTTTTTGAATTTGTTGTAACATTATTAGTGAGAAAATTGCCGACTTGAATTCATTTAGATCCGAAACACTAAGGTCAAAATGTCTGATAAACATTAAATTCTTTTTTCTGAATTATTTTACAATAACCAGTATAGATTTTTAGTTTAAAGGCAGGTTAGTAATAATACCATCTTAGATTATCACTTTTCAACGCTTGTATTACTTGGTATCTGCATTCCTGTGTTATATTGTATTGTAAAAACAGAAAACAAGGGCCAGGCAACAGATCGTTTATTAAGGAAATCGACACATATTTATAGATTTTCATGTACATTATAATAGATTGTTGTTAGCAGAAAAACACAGTCTTCTGATTGGTTGTTTCTCACTGCAAGTTAACCTTTCATCTCTTTGTGGTTGTTTCTTGATTGTCTTATCATCTATATGCTAACTGTATCCGCCTACACAAAGTCTATGTCCCTATTTTTCTCACGATCAATATTTGGGACATAAACCTTGATGTAAATTAATGTCTACCAATTAAGCTAGCAGCCAGCTGTCACCACAGTACAACTTAGATTACAAGTTAACTGAAAGCATGAATCAGATTGCTGTAGTTTTAACCGAGACGAAAAAATAGTGAATGTAAAGACAATGTGGTTCAGTTATCGACTTTTCTTCAACTTGTAGGTGTGTATGTGCATGGTGAGTATTATTATTCCTTTAGGTTCCGACAAGCAGGTGGGTTTACAACAGCACATCTCCATGTTGTGATTTTGCTCTTCAGTTCTCTTTAAATGGCTCTAAGATCCCCTATAAGTTCACATCGCCTTTAGGTCACCTCCTCTCATCAAGCCGTGTGATGTCACACTCAACGGGGCCTTCGGCGTGTGTCCGATCCAACTCCATTTCATTCTGTTGGTTTGTTTAACTACCAGACTTCCTTGTTGCTAATTCTTTCTAGTCGGTTGTCTGATCTTCATTATCGAGGCAGAGAAGATAGTTGTTGATAAACGTCTGCAGCAGTCTATCGGAAATGCCTTCGGTGACTCAGAGTCCAATTCGCTGAACCAGTGATAGAAACATTGATTTCATATTAGTCAGTGTTGGGAATCTGATTTTTTTGTCCCTTATGCCGATTAATGAAGGTCTGTTGCTGCTTTTGTAACCCCAGTGTCTCATTGACGTCTTCATCAGTGCCGCTTGCCGTTGAAATGATGTTGTCTAGATAAGTAGAGGCAGTGACCTACTTGCTTTGGATTTCCACTGTTGATGCTAATTGGTGTTTGGTGTTGTGGTTCAGGTACCTGCATTACCGCTTTCTTTCCATGTTCACTTGAATTTCTTTCTTCACTGCTTTTCTGTCAACTTGTTGTTTTTCACTACAGCCGCAACGCGTTATGATGAAATTTTCCCTCCAGCTTGACTGTAGGCAAGAATGTGTAACCTAATACACAACCGTCTGTTTTAATGTTAGTTCCTAATATTATCATCTGTCCTACCATACAGTTTTAATACTCTAAGCTTAACTACTCGTTATAGTTGTAGGACACATGAGAAACTTCAAGGTCACCCTATCAGCAGTGACAGTGAACAACCAATCGGAATTCAGATGCAAAACGTTGCATTAAAGTTTTTTAAAACGTATTAAAAACATTACAAGCATGACAATAAACTAGACTGTGGTCTCCGATGTGTTGTAGAAATGTCTCCTGTTTCCTCCAAGGATAATTTGCAAAGAAATCATACCATACCAAACGCATATATTCATTGAAACGGCTTTAATTCATGGTACTTTTGGATCCATTGGAATTCCTAATTCTTATCTACAACCTCCTCCGAAATCCTTGCATAGAAATAGTGTGGATACCTATGATAGCTACCCTAAAAAGTTCATCAGCAAACAGACGACCAAGAGAGTAGGAAAGAATTCATTTGTATCTATTTACAAGAAGGCTCTATATATACACGACTACAGCTTAACGGTAGAGTTGTTGACACATCAATAGATTGCTCGCCAACCACGCAGGTGGTCCGGGGTTCAATCCCTGGCTGCTAGGCCAGTAATAATACTGGTAGAGAGCGAAGGTTGAGTATGAGGCTAGCAACCCCCTCATGTAAAAATAATCACCACTGCTACAGAAACTTCAGGTTTCTAGCTTGAAGGCGCCTTATGTTCCACTTGGAACGTACTGGAATAAAAAAAGCAGTCTGAAGGTGATATACAAGTTGAGAAAATCGGCTCAAAGAATGTAAATGCCTGAAAACCTCAGCCTATATGTTTCATACAACTGTCTGTGATTTCTCAACTGAAAAATGAAGTAGTACCTAGACTAGCCAGCCACTTCTAATTGTATCTGTCAATTCATTTTGTGTCTTTGTAGTACAGCACAGACATTGAATATTATAAATATCATCACACTAGGATTGTCGCGCTTGCTAAACACTTCTTTACTTGATTGTATCGTTGCTAGTCGTAGTCTAACTAAAAGCTTGGTGAAAAGATTTTTTCTACAGCTTGAAGTAATTGGAATTAGGAAAATGAATTACCGGGTTTGCAGTCCACTGTCTCGCCGATAATTAGGTGCATTGTTCATTCAGCATTGCAATCAACCCCCACCCACCCACGCAACTGATATAAAGGAGCAAAGGTAAGATCAATTGAAAATTTATTGTCAAATAAGGAACAAAGATCACCTCCGCGATACAAGTTAACTGGTTTTTCTAAACGATATCCCAAGTTAGTAATCTGGTAGCAACATTCAGTCTTAGTCCATTGATGATTCACTTGTAGAATACTCGCAAACCACTCTCTGGGGGGTCGATCACCAGTCAGTTTACTCCTAAACCTTGCTCAATGGCTAATAAACCCCATAAGAACGAAAAGTGGATTGTGAGCTGGTTAGTAACTCGATTATGCAAAAAGAAACATCACAGCTACTAAAACTTCAAGACAACCAGTACCAAACACTGTCAACGAGAGAAATATGAAATAGGCTACTTCCTTTACTTATCTAGGAAGCATCCTGCCTGTCACCTACAGGCACATCATAGGAAATGAGAATGTCGAAACGAGAATAGAGAAAGGCAAGACCCACCTTCATCATTCTGAGATCAGTCTGCAAATCTGCCTACTACACTCAGCATAAAAAACAAGATTCGGATTTTCAATACCAACCTGAACGAGGTCATGAAAAGCCTTTCTAACCGACAGCAGTGAACTTTCATCAACAGCTGCATTTACTGACTCCATATTAAGGATCAGGTGGTCAGCCGGAACAAAACTCTGGGAACAAGCTAACCAATAAATGTTCCAGAGAAAATGGAGATATACTGGACAGACGCTGAAAGGACCGCCTAGTAGCATCGATAGCCAGGTCACACTGCTCAAATGGATCCTGAATGGACAACGATAAGTTGGGCGTTGGTTCAAGGATAACATAGAGGAGAAAGAAACTGTGGGGTCAGCTGAAAAAGACCGCAGAAAATACAACAGAGTGGAGAGATGCTGTTGACGTCCTGTGTTCCACTCAGAACGCAAGCGAATCAAAATCAAAATTATTGTCACATTTCTGTAAGTAGACTGATTAACTTCCGGATTATGTTCCCTTTTGAATCGTTTGCACCTATTCATCTATTATTCCCGTCTAATCCAATCAACCTTCTTTTCGTTTCTGCTTTATCAATTTAGCTCATTTACGTTCTATTCGTTTTGTACTTTTCGTACACATTATTATTTGAAACACTGCCAGACAAGATATCCATTCACGAGATTATTGTTATCACTTATTTCACTGCTATGCTGATCGATTTGATTCGTCAGGTTAGTGGAATGTTGTTTAACTCACTTGTCTCACACTTTTCTTTTTGATGTCGATGATAATTTTTTACCCCATTCCTTGAGTTTTAACTAGAATACAGGGCTTGCAAGTTTTTGAAGTTTCATTAACGATGATATTGATTTTACTTGGTACGTCTGCTAACCCTAATTATCAATCTGCCGCCTTTTTGAGGCTTATTACTACTACCTAGGCGGTTTAAGAATACTTTAGCCAGGATTCGAACCTAGAGAGCCTACTATTAAACTACTGGTGGTGCATGATATTTTTTATTGTTGAACAACATTCCGCAACTAAATTATGATAGTTGAATTTTGGTTCTGTCATATAATTCCCAATCAAAGTTAACTGTACATTTACTGTTCTAAGTTCCGGTCATGGAGGTGGAAAATATCAGCTGTCTTCTGACTTTTGCAGACAATCCGTGAGTATTGATATGTGTGTAAAACTTAGGCACTCTGGTAGTAAGTAATTCCTTATTAGTTTGTTTATTAGATGTATGACACAGTCAGTGAAACAGTATTATTTACTGGATGACACAGTTTCGAACAAAATTTATTGCTGTTCATAATCATATCAGTTGTAATCACACGACTTTGAAACCTGAGTTTTCTTTGTTCTCTCCTATTTATCGTCGTAGGGGTAGTAGAATTTTCCAGACATATAGCTGGACAGGTGTAGAATCCTTCCTATTACACGTGTTTGCAGTTGATTCGATAAACAAAGCTTCTGTTATCAATCTCTCTCTCCACCCTGTGACATTAGATTTTCAAACTGTCATCTTATCCCATCCTATTGTATGGTTATTGTAATAATAATGATAATAATATTAGTGACGAAATGCATGTCAGTTATGCACAAGACAACACCAACAATAAGGAATCTAAATCACTAGTAGTAATTCCATACAAGGAAGGAACCTCAGAAACCTTACGCAGAATTCTTAACAAGGCAGGAATAGAAGTGGCTGGTATTCAAACCACCCACAAACTCAGTTAGAAACAACCTTTTAAACAAAACAATCTAGTTTATCTAATACCCTGCCGGAATGATTGCCAGGTCAATACATAGGTCAAACTCTAGTAGAACACGGGCATTCAGACTAGCCGAACATAAAAACCTACCAAAATCTAGATTGGTTGACCCTAATAAGATAAGAAATCTAGAGAACAGTTCAGCTATAGCACTTCATGCAGTTATACACAACCGTACAATAGGATGATGGGATAAGATGACAGTTTGAAAATCTAATGTCACAGGGTGGAGAGAGAGATTGATAACAGAAGCTTTGTTTATCGAATCAACTGCAAACACGTGTAATAGGAAGGATTCTACACCTGTCCAGCTATATATCTGGAAAATTCTACTACCCCTACGACGACAAATAGGAGAGAACAAAGAAAACTATAAAACTCAAGTTTCGAAGTCGTGTGATTATAAATGATGCAATGATTATGAACAATAAATTTTGTTCGAAACTGTGTCATCCAGTAAATAATACTGTTTCACTGATTGTGTGATACATCTAATAAACAAACCAATATAGAATCCGTGAGTAATTGTGGTCATAAATATATATCTGTTTGTCAGTCTAAATTTATCCTATGTGTATGTATTCCAGTTCTCCATGAACTACACATTCCTCAAGGGGGGGATAAAAACGTAAATTCCATGTGACTCGTGTGACAGTGTTATGATCACTGTTGCCATTTGAAACGAAATCATCACCAATTTGTTATGAGACTACCCTGCTACCAAATTTCATGTGGAGCAATCGCTAATTGACATAATCCAGTGGACTTATGCGTGGGTATAAGAACACTGACTCAATAAACAACTCAACGGATACGCTAAATACGCCTATTCTTCGATGATACCTTCCGCTTTACTGAGCCACGTAGATACCAAAAGTCAAAGACTGGCCTGTGACTATTAGTATACAATTTTTATTAGGGAAATCACGTCATATATATATATAAACACAAAATCTGTCCAGGGGAGTGGAAATAGATTCTTGTGATCGGTAGACAATTTGACACATTATTCTTCCCGTTGATGTGATTGTTTGTGCGATGATGCGATAAGTCATTGAGAAAACTTATAAGTTTATGGACAGTTAAATAGGTGGTAGTGGGAATTTTCCGGTGTATTTCCCTTCTGGGATCTGGATGTTTAATTTGTGAAGCTTTCGTTGCCTTAATTTATGTATTTATATATTTCAGTTCTAAGTGTGCATGCTTTCGAATTTTTCCACAAGTTTAGTCAACAGTCAGCTCTCCAAGTAACCTTGAACATAACTGGTTACTTTTGTGTGTTCTCCCAACCTCTAGTCCACTTCTATTGGTGTTGACGTGAAAGTTGACCTTTTGTTCACGTCATCTCCTTCTTCATGTGACTGGAAAATCTGAGATTTTGTAAATCCTGGTTTCATGATACTTTGATAAAGGTATTGGTAGCGCTGAATAGTGAAACGACAGTAGAAACGACAATATCTTTTGTTTTTCATTCATTCATTGAATGGGAAATACAGAAGCTTTTATAATAATGAAGACTGGTAAATCTTGTCTCTGTCAGTGTGTCTATTGATTGCCAATTCGCTTGAATATCAGGCTTTTGGAAATTCTCTGGAGTTCTCAGTGTTTCCTATAAGTAAGATTTGTACATCATAATCCTAATCTTCAAGAATTGGTTTGTAAGGCTTAGATTTATTTTTCCAAGTTTGATCACGGATTGATATCAGTTAGAGAACCATTTAAAACCAGCCAGGGAGTACTGGACAGCTGCTTCATCTTAGTTTGGGAGTCATCATCAGAACGCACCTACTGGAGTTTAAACCCATGAGCTTCCGGTTACAAGGCAAGCTCGTGTACCATTCAGCCACTGGGACTCAATTGAACGGTCCATCAATTCTAACTTCTACCAACCAATGCCATCGTTGGGAAATCCATCCTCACACATGACTGGATTGACCTCACTGGCCGCAACTTCTCACTAGAACTCCAGGAAACTCAGTCATGTGGTAAGTCACTAGCGAGCGGCAGATTAATTATCAAGCGTTGGTGTCCATGGTTGTCTGTATGCAATGATATGAGGCAGGCCAGTTTATGTTCGCAAATGCGAAAACGGGAAGAGCATACAATCTGACCAATGTAATATCTTTCTCTGTCAGTCGAATTGACTTTTTAGGTGATATTGATTTCGGTTTCTTTTACTGTGGAGTCTGTTGGTTGCAATAGATTTGAGTGAGGTGATTTTTTTAGTCTGTAGGCGACATCAATTTCAAAAGGTTTGAATAGTCTTGCAGTAATTTCAGAGATGTTCTTTATAAACAGCAGGAAACTTTTCTTTGTGTTCCCGTTGGGGGTAGATGTCTTTTGATGAATCTTCATGGATATCCATTTAATTATTTTTCTTCCAGGAGTGCTGCAAGGAGTCCAGGCCCTCTTGAATAGTGTTTGTTTGATGTCAACAACAAGCTAACAACACCACTTCACTCAGTTCTGTGTCGACCCAGAGACTCAACAGTAAAAGAAGCCGAAACCAAAATCATCTAAAAAATAAATTCCAATTAGTGTGAATGACATTACATTGATCAAATTGGATGCTCTCTCCGTCTTCGCATCTGTGAACATAAAGTGGACTGTCTCATATCACGGCATACAGGCAACCACGGACACCAATTCGATTAGGATTATGATGTACAAATCTTAGTTATAGGAAACACTGAGAACTCCATAGAATTTCCAAAAGCCTGATATTCAAGTAAATCGGCAGTCAAACAGACACATCGACATAGACAAGCTTTACCAGTCTTCATCATTTATAAAAGCTTCTGTATTTCCCATTCAATGAATGAATGAAAAACAAAACGATATTGTTGTTTCTACTGTCGTTTCACTATTCAGCGCTACCAATACCTTTATCAAAGTATCATGAAACCAGGATTTACAAAATCTCAGATTTTCCAGTCACATGAAGAAGGAGATCGCGTGAACAAAAGGTCAACTTTCAAGTCAGCACCAATAGAAGTGGACTAGAGGTTGGGAGAACACACAAAAGTAACCAGTTATGTTCAAGGTTACTTGGAGAGCTGACTGTTGACTAAACTTGTGGAAAATTCGAAAGCATGCACACTTCAGACTGAAATATACATAAGCTGAGGATTTTGCCTATTAAGTCAATTAATGCTTCACTAATAAACCTTCCAGCTGAGGAAACACAACTATGCGAAAATCGTCAACCTGCGCTACGAATCTTCATGATTTCCGAAGGGATTTCTGCACTACAGTACACTAGGTGTATGTACGCGGCTTTCTGACAAGAAGATTCATATTATAATTTAGTAAAAATTTGGAGAACTGGTTTAATTGGATGAAAGTAGAAGTACTTTATTCCGGTTTCTAACCAACACAAGTTGAGCTACGTAATATAATTGACGGGAATGAGTAAAATTCAACCTAAATTGAACGAGAGTCAAGCCAACGGCAGTGGAAATAAGGGGTAGAAATTTATCTGAGGGTGACTCACACAAAATACTTGGAGGATCTGGACTTCGCCGATGATATATGTCTGATTTCCCACAAACTGGAAGATATGCGAGTGAAAACCAACATGCTGGAAGAAGAAGCATCAAAGATAGTGCTTCCTTCAGGTGAGCATAGAGAAAACAGAGGTGATGAAGATTCCTGGCCAACACCAACAGCAACAACAACAGACAACAATCAGCCAACATAAATGGGAGGAACCTGAAAGAAACAACCTCCTTTACCAAACCAACTGGGAAGCATCGTTTCAACTACAGGCCGACGGAACTGACGAGGATATCAAAGCTAGAATCGGAAAAGCAAGGCAAGCTTTCATTACTCTTAAGTCTGTGTGGAGGTGAACAGCACTCAGCATCAAAAATAAGATCCGGATTTTCAACTCCAATGTGAAGTAAGTCAGTGCTACTATACGGATCAGAGACCTGGCGCGTCATAAAGAGCATCTCAAACAAACTTCAGACCTTCATTAACAGTTGTCTTCGCTCAATACTCAAGATCAGATGGCCGGCCAGAAAAGATCAGCAACAGGGATCTCTGGAGCGAACTAACTCAGCAGGAACCGATTGTGAAACAAATAGTCAGGAAGAAATGGAGATGGATTGGCCGTACTCTGAGGAAACCATCAAGTGATATCACTAGACAAGCCTCCAAAGCTTCAAGATCGTCGGGGGTGGATGCCTTGCGCTGCGGGTTGGCCACCCCTCCGTACACCTCTTGAAATGCTCCCATTTCACTGGGCGTCTTACATAGCCTCTCCTGACGAAGTCCTACTCTCTGCCTTCATGTGGCGGAGGTGTTTTTCACCGAAGTGAGAGGGTAAAAGCGGATGCCCGGCGCTCTTCACCGGGTTGACTGTCCATCGGATGACAGTCTAGGGGAGATGGCTAAACCCTGATTCCAAACCTCCAACGACTGGCGTATGAAGCTCACCGGAGCTCACCGGCAGACGTATGGACAAAGGGCTTGTTGGATGTCCTGGATGTCTGGCCCCATTCGAAAAGGCGTATGAACCGGACTCCGGTCACCGGCTGGCTTCCAATGGATAGTGGACTCCCTACTCCACTCCTACTGCGTTGTAGGTCACACTTGGTTGTGTAAAGGCTAGAGCTGCACTCTCAAACAAACGGCCGAGCGATGTTGGGGACATCACTCGTACCTAATTCCCATGAAACTTCATGAATCATGAAGCCGGCTCATCCTCCCGTAGAAGATAGCCGAAGTAAAGTAAAGGAAGTACTAGACAAGCCATCGAGTGGAACCCGAAAGGGAAGCGGCGAGTTAGTCGTCATTTCAAGGGTGACTTGAAGGAGGTCATGAGGAGATGAAAGCATGTGGGTAGACTTGAAACGGAGTGAAAAAGTTGGCAGAAACCCGAAGGCAATGGAGACGTATGGCTGAAGCCCCATGTTTCTCTAGGAATTGAAGGATATAATAATAATATAATAATACACTAAAAATTACACACGTGACTATAAGACAGATCAGGTTCAGATTTAATGACTGAATAAGCTTCTCTTGCATACAGAGTTCGGGATGCAACATGTGAATTGTCATTCCTTCTATAGTTCAAAGAAGTTTGATTCGTACTCTTTTAGTAAAATCCCGGCGTAGTAATGATATTAGATGGTCGGAGGCTATTGGCAGGAAGCCTTGAACCTAGATTTCATGCTAGCTGGCACTTACCATCAAGGCATATCTACAACCTTGAAGGAACTCATGTCCCTTCTTAGATTCGAACCCTCGACACCCAGTACTGCAGTCAGAGACATTACCAAAGGAAGGACTAGACACATTACACTAGTTACTAGTGTCGAATTCTATTCCCGCTTACTCTCAAGATGCTTTTCGAATTGGTTTGTGGGATAGTTTGGTGTCTAGATTCGATCAAGTTCTCCAGGATAAGACGTCGCTGAAAAGACTAGCACTTTGGTGAACTTTTTTTTTTCTTTTATAAGACTCAAATATTAGTTGTTGTTGTTGTTATGAAGTACCACTCTAAAGTTGTGAAATTTTTGTTTTCGAAGTGATAACATTCTTAGCATATTGTGTAACCTTTAAAAATAATAAGTGTGTTAATGTATGTAGCCAGTTGGCTCAAAAGCTTGGTTTTCAAGAAATTAGTCTTGGGTGCAAAAACCAGTGCAGCTACTTTGAACTGGGTGGTATCATCACCCCAAACAAAATAAGTTTGATTTATATACAGGAAAATTCAAAGTCTCTTCCAGTTAACTTAATATATAATTCCATTACTCAGGTGGTAGTTTACAATACAGAAAAGTAGTGCGTAGAATTGTGTGCTTATCTCAGCCAATGTCAACTGATGATTCAATGACGATGATTTATTACCATCATCATCATTCTTTTGGGTTCCGACACCGTATCTCCATTTCAACCTATTCTCTGAAGTTCTGGCTAGCTGGTTACACGACTATCCATAGACTTTCATTTCCTCATTGTATGATCTCTTCTGTGTCATACTGAAATGCCCATCTCATCGCTTTCCATTAGAGTTCCACTTGAGGGAGTGGCACGTGATTTTACTCAACAGTCTCTCCAGTGTTTCTGGACTCCATCATGAACTGACATCAGTTAGAGGACCATTGAAAAACTTGGGAGTATTGGCTAGCTCTTTCGTCTTGGTGCTTGCGACTCTTCATCAGTACGCACCCACTGAGGTTTCGATCCAGGACTTTCTGGTTACAAGACGAGCTAGTAAACCATTAGGCCAATGGCCAGCGAATGAATCCTAACATCTACCAATCCACTAAATGGCGTGACCACTGGCGAATGTCATCGGTATCCCACTGGTCACGGATCCCCACTTTCCTCTTCAGTGTTTGTCTAATTCATCTCCATTTCCAATGGCATATTTGTTGGGCGATAGGTTCTTGGTTGGATTGGTGCACCTCAGAAGCCCTTGTTGTATATCCTTTCTGGCCGGACACCTGGTCCCCAGTATGGAGTGAATAAAGGTACTGGTGAAAATCTGAAGCCTGTTGGAAACGTTATTCTTGACACTCCAAGTCTATGAACCATGTAGAAGCACTGAGTTGACATAAGCATTGAAAATCCGAATCTCATTCCTTATACTGACTATTGTATATTTCCTCACTGATTTCAGAGTTATAAACGTTTGTCTTACCTTTTTCCAAATGTGTTTTGACATCCTCATCTATGCTGTTACCTCTAGTTGAAACGACTGTGTCTATGTAAGTGGTAGAAGGGGCCTCTCTCAAATTTCTGCGTTTGATAGTGATTGATTCTTCTTGTAATTGTAGGTCGGTTACCTTCATCACCTGTGCCTTCTCTGTGTTCACTTGAAATCTTGTCTTCTCTGCTAGCCTCTTTCTTCTCGTAGCTTGTTGCTTTCCACCTGTAGTAGTAGTATGTGTGACATAAAAAGGTTAATTTTCTTTGAGGTTCAGGTCTTCTAGAGTCTTGTAGTCGGTCTGCAGTCTGCCTGTCTTCTGTCACCGCCCCCCTACACTCTGCCACCTGATCTAGTCCACCAGAATCAGGAATATCATCGGTGATAGCTGGAAACCCGTGTCTTATTCCTGTATTCACTCACTTCAGAGGCTTCGCTGAGTTTTTTGCTGCGAGGACGGATTGGCATGTGACTTTGTCATATAGCTGTAGAATGAGGCTAATAAAGATTTGGGTCATGCCGGCCAGTCGATCGCACTGGGGGAGACAACATGACACTTCAAAACTCCTTGGTAGCTTTTTACTCCTGATATTCATCTTTGGAATTCAAGTGTTGGTTTGTAGGGATTTCATTGGTTACAAGATTTCATGATGAGCCTACATTAGTTAGAGAACCATTGGGTGCGTACTGCTGAGGAGTCCCAAACTAGGACAAAACAGCTATCTAGTACTCCCAGGTTTTACAATGGTTCTCTAACTAATGTCAGCTCATGATGAAATCCTGTAACCAGTTCATCTTTGGATTAGAAAGTTTTAAAATAAAAAAAGACTACCATACTAAATTGTTTTATTTCTTTAAAACTACAGTAAATATTTTAAAAGATAATTTGTGTTAGGCCAAAATGGTAATTCATGTTCTAAGCGAACGTCTGTCTATCTTTATTTTTAGATTGTTAAATCATACGATAAAAGATTCGAACAATTTCATTTACGATGGAATCATTACTACTGGAATAAATTTGATCTGCTTTTAGTTGGTTTAGCCACAGTTAGTGCATTGTTACGTATTGGATTGAGTAAAACATTTCTCTATGCAAAATCATGCTATGTGATAACACGTAAGTTAATAGTAATGATGGTGATAATAATAATAATATTGATAACCATTTTAGACTATGCCTTTCTAATTCTTTTCCTCCATTCCTTTCACCTTCAGAATGGAACAAAGGGCTTCAAGCTTGAGCTGTGAAGTTCCAGTAGCATTGCTGCTTTCTTATACAGTGGGGAGGGTTTGTTAGTCGTATCACATCCAACCCCTTTCTTCTCTTCCCATAGATTCCTTTTGGCTACTAAGCTATACAAGGTTTAGGAGCGTATCGGTCGGAGTCTAACGCCGGACCATGAACAGTGTGGTTGGTGAGCATCTTAATCCTAAACGACCGATGCACTCATTCTTACAAATATCAACTTTTGATAAACTTTTACTCAGGTGGTCTCATAAAAGATCATCCAAATGAGAATTCTTTACCATTTTATTCCCAGTGATTTTTTACTACACTGGTGTTAAGTAAGTGCAGTCAGATGACATTTTTCACAATTCTGTGGTCAGCTTCACCAGCAAAGGCAGGAAAAACATCATATGGCTACTTGCACATGAATGATGTCTGTTATAGGTTTGACCACGAGTTACCATCACTCAAAGAACCCCTGGAAAGCCTTCATGGAATACTAGTGAATAACTACTTCGCCTCAGCTTGGGGCTCTTCATCAGAACACACCCACTGCCAGGGTTCTAACCTACAACCTTCCGGTTATCAAACGAACTCCTAGGCCATTCAGCTACTGTCATCCAACTCAACGGCCAGGCCATGAATTTCATCTTTCGCTACCGCCAATCATTGTCACAGGCCAGTAACTGTTCTCCTACAAGACTTGGTGGACTCCATTGGTCACGACTATATGTTACCGAAATCCTTTTAAAAAGAATTGGAAATATCATGTCAAAATCAGTGTCACGAAAAAAATATAAGCAGCAGTTTGCGCCTCGAAATGTCCTACTGACTGACTTTCCTTGCTAAATATGAATAAAGAAGGTCCTTGATTTGAATTCAAGACTCCAGTTGTATGTTACCTCTTTGCATATCAATGATCCACGTCTATCTGATATAAACTGAGAAATTCTTCAAAGCTAAAAGTGTCCATCAATGCCAAATATTTGTAGACTGATGATGAGTCCCAAACGAAGACGAAACAGCTGTCTAATACTCCTTGATAGTTTCCAATGGTTCTCTAACCGATATCAATCAGTTATCAAACTTTAAACAAATCAAATCTCTACAAACTATTATTTATTTCACGATTTCACCATGAGCTGACATTAGTTAGAGAACCATTGGAAAACCTGGGAGTACTGGACAGCTGTTTCGTCCTAGTTTGGGAATCTTCAGCAGTACGCACCCACCGGGATTCGAATCCAGGGCCTTCCGGTTACAAGGTGAGCTCGTATACCATTAAGCCACTGGGACCCGATCCAAAGGTCCTGGGTTCGAATCCCGGTGGGTGCGTACTGCTGAAGAGTCCCAAACTAGGACGAAACAGCTGTCCAGTACTCCCAGGTTTTCCAATGGTTCTTTAACTAATGTCAGCTCATGGTGAAATCGTGAAACCAATCAAATCCCTACAAACCAACACTTGAATATTATTTATTTGTTGTTCTTTTGGGTTCCGAGTGGAACACTGGGGTCCAGCTGACCATCTCCACTTCGTCTTATTCTATGAGGTCCTCTCTAGCTGGCCCCACGACTCCCAATAGTCTCTTCTCTCCTCCATGGCACTCTCAGACCCACACCCAACTCGCCTTTTCCCGTCCGACAGCTTGGCTATAGATATCATTCAATGGCTTCTTCAGCGTGTATGCAATCCATTGTCTCCATTGTTTTTGTCATATTCATTAAGTAATAGCTTTTTGATTGGCTCTTTCCCAGAGTTTCTTGATGCTGATTGTTTCTTACTGGCCATCTGGTCTTCAGTATGTGTAGCGAAGCCCTACAAACAAACTCTTAGAAGTTAATCTGATACTCGCTAGTGACTGACTGGTGACACGACGAAGTTGCCTAGAATTCTACTGGAAATTGCTGACCAGTGAGGTCCACCAACAGGTTGGGTGGGAGTGAGAACAAATACTCACCAAAGGCGACATTGGCCGGTCTGAGTTGGTTCTCAATTAGAATTAAATGATCTCTGAGCTATTCTTATGACTGGAATGTTCTAGATTCGAACTCTGGCAGTGGATGATGGTTACTGTCGAAGAGTTCCAAGCACTAGGATGAAACAGATGTCCAATATGCTGCCTTATATGTTTTCGGTACTTCTCTAAATGTGATAACAATCCGTCGTCAGACTTGAGATCAATCAAATCCCTACAAATTGACTCTGGAACACATGAATATTGAGTTTTTTTCAAGATTAAAAATCTGTTCTGTGTGTAAAATGAATCAATTTATTATTATAGGTGTATTTTGGTACTGGATGTTTACACGCGTGTACACACACACACACACGCACATGCAGACAGAGTGATTGTTTCTTATTTATCTCCTGGATATATTACTAGATTTAAAACTTATTAGTGTGAGTGTGTATGTGCGTGAACACTGAGATTTATACATATGGACTTATAATTAATTAGACTAGTTAAATCATAGAAACATACATTGGCAGTGAATTTCATAAATTCCGCATTGCCTTTCGCTACACACACACACACTTACATACATACATACATACATTTATAGTACTACACCTTGATTGATTGTGTTTAACTGAATTTATGCATGTGATTTGAAAACTACATCAACGCTACAGCGTACAGTGTCCAAGTCTTTATCGACCTCATTCAACAGCTGTCTTTATGACAATGTCACGTTTCAGGTGATCCACAACTGAAAACTCAGTGAGGCGTTCGAAGTGGAGACAGGAGTAAGACAAGCTGGCTGCTTGCCTATTATCACCGATGATATTCTTGATTGTGGGGGTGGATTGGATTATGCGTCAGACTGTGCGTCGGGAGTGGGAAGACAGGAATACGTTGGACGACCGATAGGAAGACTCTGGAAGGTCTGGATTTCACGTGTGGATAATATATGTCTGATGTCACACAAACTCGAAGACTTGCAGGCGAAAACCGATAAACTGTCAGTAGAAGTTGGAGGCGATAACACGACTCCAGGTGAACATAGAAAAGACGGATTGAAGTGGTGAAGATAATCAACCAACAGCAACAACAACAACACCCAGTACCAATCGCCACCAACTGGAGAGATTTGATACAGGTTACTTCTTTCGTTTATCTAGGAACTACGGTTTCAACTATAAGCCAGAGTAACGGATGAAGATTTCAAAATTGGCCTGTATCGGAAAGGCAAGATACGTCTTCAACTTGAAATCGATTTAGGAATCCTCTGCACTACACTCCGCTTCAGCCAGCATAAAGAACAAGATTCGGATTTCCAACACAAATGTGAAGTCGGTCCTTCTATATGGGTCAGAAACTTGCACAGCGTGTGAGTCACGAAAAGGATTTCCAACAGGGAGTTACAGACCTTCATCAACAGCTGCCACCTTCTCTGGCTCTATACTAAAGATCAAGTGGCCGGCTGACCAGAAAGAATTAGCAACAAGAAACTAACCAAAAGACGACAGCCGACCGCTCAACAAATATATAGGAGAAAGTGGAGATGGATCGGAAAGACACTGAGGAGACCGTCAAATGGCGTCGCGTGCCAGACTATTGCTGGAGTGGAATTCGAGAGGGAAGCGACGAGTGTGGATTGTCAGTGCGAGGATGACATGGAGGAGATCGTGTGGCGAGAGGAAATGAGAGATTATGTCCAATCGTGGACCCAGTTGAAGAGGATGGCAGAAAATAGAACAAAGTGAAGATGCGTTATTGAATCCCTTCGTTCAGCTCGGAACCCAAGGGGACAATGATAATAAAATATTAATAGGGAGGTACATAAAGCGACTTTTTGTTTGGCCTTTATAAATTGTCCTTCAAATAACTGAAAATCCTTAAAATATCCGATTGGCTGCTATCAAATGCTAATAAGATGATGACACAGGAGTGGACTACATTTACTCCCAGATTAAAGATAAGGAATGAAGTGGTAGAGCGTGTTGACCACCATTCACTTATTTGGGCAGTTGTTCGCTGAAGAAATCTCAGCATGGATACACAAGGCTCGTTTGGCATTTAGCAACTCACATCATCTCTGGCTTATTAGATGTTATATGCGATTGGCTATCGATCAAAAGACGTGTGTACTGCTTGACAGTTCGGTTCGTCCTCCCTTATGACTGTCAGTGAGACATGGCCATTGAAGAAATTGGAAGAAATGAAAAGGCTAGTTGTCTTTGATCATAAGTGCCTGTGTTCTGTCTCCTGTGTTAGGGGGTGTGAGGTTAGCCATAGACTGTTAGATAAGAAGGGACAGTCAATCGATGAGATTGTGAAGCTACATAGATTAAGATGGCTAGGGCATGTTTTACTCATGGCTAACTATCACCTTCGTCTACAGGTAATATTAGCTGACATGTGATTAGGTCTGAAAGATTGTAGTAATGGTCAAACCAAAACACGGAATCAGACAACGAAATCCTGAACTGTTAGTTTAAGCCAGCCATGTAGGGAGGTGTAGACTGCTTGACTGGTTGGGTTCCTTAGGATGGTAACAACCGATGACTGCTAGAGAGAGAAAATGGCTAGTGAAGATGCATTCACTCTTTTGTGGTCTGTCATATGCAATAAAACTCCACTGTTCTTCCACATAACTATTCTTTTCTCCTCACTAACACTTCTCTTTATTATCCTCTCTGTACTCTCTTGTCTTGCTTTGTGTGCTACATCGAGGGAGTGTGGCAACTTGAACTGCTGCACATCTATGCAAATTTCACTGCTGAAATCAATCATGTTAGATTTCGTTATGAACCTTTACTACATAGCTACAGCGGAACTGGGCGCCGAATAACTGATGGATAGCTGGTAATCACTCTGCAGTTGTGCTCACAGTCTTATCAGTGAACTGTGTCATCAGTCAATGAATCCCTGGACAGAAGTTCATCAAAGGCATAATACTTATTCTTTATACTCTATGTAATATCAACTTTGATGTAATCTGTCTTATTAAAGAACAATTCTGCTCTTTTTGTTCATGCTTAATAAAACTATTCTTATCTTTTATTGCATTTTCTTCTTTTTGATTCCCTGCCCTCTAAATGCATCTCAGTGATTGGTTGTTATTTGAGAATATACCGTTTATATTCACATCATCCTCGTCTTGGGCCTAAACTGGTGATGATACATAGTATGCTTGTTGAACTATTAATGTTCTTATTCATTTTGGTTATTGTCCTTGTGGGTTATGGTGTATCCCAGCAAGTACTCCTCTATCCATATCGTTCGCATTTCACATGGACAGTAGTTCGTGATGTATTTGTCTTTCCTTATTGGAATTTATTTGGTGAATTAATGCTGGATTATGCTTTTGGTAGGTTGACTTTAAATAATGTTTTGTTTTGTTTTTTTTTGTTTTTTCTTTATATTTTTAACTTGTTTTATGTTACATGTTAACTGTTATCCTCGTCATTTAGTCCTCACCGTTCTTGAATAGCAAACAAACTGCATTTCTGCCCTTTGAATTTGCCTCTTTAACACTGAATCCCGTGCTTTATTGAGTTTCAAACAATTATTTCTCTTAATGAATTTGAATAAAGCTAGAATAACAGTGGGTTTTGCAGAAAAAAATGGTGCCATCATTGTTTATTTCGTTGGCTTCTCATCAGTTGCTTACAGCCCACAGTCATTATTAAGTATATCTACACAAACAATTTTAACATACTTGCACAGAATTTAATTGGTGGATGGTGACTAGCAGTGGAATTCAGGATGCGCATTTCGTCCGATTTGGGATTCGTCAGCTGGATGTACCTGCATTTCTCAGTGAGTCATAATGTTCCCACAGGGGAAATCAATCGAAGAAGTCGTGAAGTTACAAAGACTGAGATGGTTAGGACATGTGTTACGGATGCATGCCTAGTCATCGCCTTCCTCGACAATGGGGAATGTTAGCGGATATAGGGTCAGGCTGGAAAAGAGCTAGCGGAGGTCAAACAAAAACATGTCACCAATCAATGAAATCTACAACAGTTAGCCTAAGCCACGTAGGAAGGTGTAGACTTCCTGACTGGTTGGGATCCTTGAGACGGTAAAAATCAATGGCTGGAAACAATTGGTGATATGGCTCAAACCCATCGTTCTCAATGGCTAGAGCAGATGCATCCATCCCTTGTGACGTATGATTTCCATTGAAACTATATTGTTCTTCGTCATTACTATTCCTTTGTCTCACATTTCTGTTTACTGTCTCTATTATGCATTTCTTGTCATTTTTTCTCTTGCTTTGTGTGCTACAAGGAAGGAGTGTGGCGACTTGAACTTCCGCACATTTGTGAAAAGTTCCATGTCGAAAACAGACAGACACCGAGGCTCGAACCCAGTACCCACAGTTTCAAACGCCACAGCGTTATCCACTAGACAACTTGGGCCACGAGAGCCACTTTTTGTGCAACGGGTCATATTAATTTTAATAACCGAGCACTTCGGTCCAATCAATCGACGGGAAAATCAAGAATTCAATTCAATATTTAATATGACCCGTTGCACAAGAGGTGGCTCTCTTGGCCTTAGTGGTCTAGTGGATAACGCTTTGGCGTTTGAAACTATGTGTTCTGGGTTCGAGCCTCGGTGGGAACATCATCACTCACTGAGAAATGCAGGTACACGCAGATGACGAGTCCCAAATAGGACGAAATGCGCATCTTGGATTCCACTGATAGTCACCATCCACCAATTAAATTCTAATTACATGCCCAGACATCGTCGAAGCATCTTCACAAGAAGCCGACATGTCAACCTGAGACCAAGCACTTCGGTCCAATCAATCGACGGGAAAATCTCAAATTCATTAAAAAAAATACTTGCACAGAGTTCATTTTTAAACAAAAATCAATCAGTATATGCGTGCAGTAATAATTATACACATATATGTACACCCAGAGTCTTAAATCAAATGCCTACTGCTTATGTGCACCATGGATGTGCAATTCCAATTTGACAACACTTTTTACCGCCAAATAGATAGTGTAGCTATGGGCAGTACAACCAGCCCTGTTTTAGCAGATATATTCATGTCAAACCTTGAAAGAACAAAGTTGAAGCATGCAATCGACGAAACATCTTCCTATTGTCCATATGTTGATGACAAATTTGTAGTGTGCAACAATGAAAGTTATGCTTCCCTTGTCACTCAGATTATTTAATGACGCACATACCAATATTGAATTTACTATGGAACATAAAAGTGACGGAAAGTTTCACTTCCTCGACATTGCCATGCAACGCCTAGAAGACGGTAGTCTTCAGAAGTCAATTTATTGAAAGTCTACTTGGAAAGGACAATACTTCCATTTTAATAGTTTTTGTCCAAATAACTTTCTGAACATGTACTAGAAAGCTTATGTCTAAAGCGAAGAAATGCTTTTAACGGTGTCATCGCCAGGCATCTCTTTGACGCGGGTCATTAGGTGGACGTCACAAGATCGTTCAAAATTATCAATCAATAGGCAAAAGAGTTCAGTTCTCCTCAAGTTTTCTGAAGTTATCTGCATCAAGCGTCTGAAACTTGATTTATGCCTTCAGGAAGAAACAGTTATCAGTTTTTCTTTGCCCTGGTAACTGGATATTTTCGCCTCTCTTTCATCTGGTTACGTAAAGCCGAAAGTCTCCATTTTGTACGATCATTACTGTTTGGAATAGTGTTTAATATATATATATATATATATATATATATATATATATATATATATATATATATATATATATATATAGCGAGAGAGAGATATATTTAATAGTGACTTTGGGCTGTAAGCAACTGATGAGAAGCCAATGAAATAAACAATGATGGTATCATTTTATTCTGTAAAAACTACTGTTGTTCCAGCTTTATTGAGCGCTTGATGAGTTCCGTTCGACTTTTATTCGGAATGCCACTTCACTACTGAACTTTCCCCTGGGAACAATGTTTTTGGAGACTAAAACCAACTCCCGGTAGACCGATCCTTGCGTCCTACTGTACAGCTGACTAAAACCTCAATGGGACACATGCTCATAGTGAAAAAACGCCCCAAATCTATTTGTGGTCCTACTCAACAATATTAACATCAAAAACACGAAATTGACTCAACTGTGCCGTTTAGGCCGCTATGCAAACAAAAATACAAAACAAGTACTATAGAATAAGATTAGTTAACCAAAATTCAAAATTAGTTAACCAAATTCCCAACAAGGAGAGATAAAATCTGTGTCCACAAGAATCACACACCAACAATTCCCGCTACAGGCAGTCAAAGATGAGAATCACCTTAGCTCGTTCAAACAAAATCACATCATAAAAGAATACATTGCCAATGTACATGACCAACAGGTTTTCTTGGTTTCATTTAATCTGAGAGCATTCATTGTGCTGAGTTTCTGTTGGTCTGTGCGGTCTGAAGCTTTCAAAATGAGTTAGGGGATTGCTAAATTCTCAGAATAATACAACCATATACACAGAATATTCTAGAATAGTAGTCAATAACAATACTGGTGTTTTTTAAATAATATCGATTTGTTAATAATAATAATAACAGCTTTATTCCAAACAGTATTTGTGGTACAGGTATGGAATTTTCAGCATGCATTACAGTATATTGCATCTAATTACCTCATAAATTTTATAAGATTTTTAAAATCAAAAACATAAATAAAACAGCGTAGCGTTTGCATTTTCAACAATGCACCACATGATATGAAATATAAAACTGGTGTGTAATAGGAAATGAGAACAACAGTGTAATAGTAACAAGGAAAGGAAAACAAAAACTAATGGGACTATTTGTTAGAGTGCCGCAGTAAGTTGATCGTGTCATACCTAATGGATTTCTCATCACATAAGAGCTGTGCCAGATATGGTATTGTGGAGATTTTGTACTTGGTACTCCTAGCATATAGCCTCCCAAAGTTGCTTCTAGTTCTACCAGATGAAATGCAAGGAGAGAGCTGAGTATAGAGACGATGCTCGGGGTCCGACAATATTGTATTCACTATTTTCTTACATGACATTATATGTCTATCCACAATAGTGTTAACCAGTTGGTTTAACGATATCCCACTTGCCCTACTAACTGCTTTTAGTGCCCTTCTCAGGAAAGCAAAGTCTTTCTTAAGTAGATCAGGAAAGATTAATGGGGACCAATAAAGGGGGGTGGGGAGAATACGATCAATGGAATTATAGTTCATTAAAGATGCTTAAATTATAATAATAATAAGGATATAATAGCAAGTAGAATGTCAACTTGAATTAAGGGAATTTCTACAAAAAAAATTGAGGACCATTAGAAGCTTGAAGATGAAGACAAGGACAATGTGGGATACATAGGTTAGGTTTCTTAATGTAGATCCCAACACCCCCAGCAATATGCAGTAGACGAACTCTTAAGATAAAGTTGAGATACCAACTATGGTATGAGGTAGATGACTTTGAAAGCCGCCTCATTGACATCAATCTTGTGTTGTTTATCCACGAGATTAGATAGAATAGAGTTATGAATGGATTTTGTTTGTCCTTTACTTAACCAAGCAGGATGATGTTCAGAAATTCGACGATAAACACGCCTAATTGATCAGCCTATGTAGCTAGCTCCACAGAAGCAATCAAATTTCTAAATTATCACTCTTATTTAACATAAAATTAACCGTGTTTTAGATTCACTCCTGTACATAAGTGACTACTTAACAAAAAAGATAATCGAATTAAGGCCTAATAAGTTCAAATCAGTTTTAGTATGTATAATCACCCTTAAATTTGTGCAGCCTTCCAATCAACTGACATTTACATACCAGAAATAATCCAACTGTCCTGATAAAAAAAAATTTAAAAGCTCTGTGGTATTTGCTGTACAAAGTTGTCCTCCGTGAAAGTTAGACAAGTGAGGAATGAAGAAGTCTGAAATTCCATCTGTTGGAATACTTGCTGTCATTCTGTGACTTTTGCCTTGAATCCTTTCAAAATATTTTTAAACATGTAACTGTGGTGAACTTCTACCTCCTTGAACCGTGTAAACTGTTATTTTATTCGACAATTGTGAATTTAATTGGTGGAGTTACCAGTTCGCCCAGAGTAGCTAACATGCTTTGAACTGATCCTACTCTCTGAAATGATTTAGTCGGTCTCAAACTAATTAAACGCCTGTGAGGTGTTTAGATTACACCGATTTGGCCATCTAGTAAATGCTACTGACTGATATGAGTAGTATACAATTATTCAACATCTCAATCAATCAGTAGTGTATTGTAGTATTGTACAACAGACTTCAAAATTTTAAAAGACGGATTCAGCGAAGAAAATTTTCTTTATCGACGAAATCATCTTCAGAGGCTGTACAGTCGTATTTATACTTAGAAGAATGTATAGTGGTCTATTATTGAATAATAGGGGGTGACATAATTGCTGTAATTAATCATAAGTGGCTTTAGAGGTGAAAATTAAAAGTTGTAAATTACATGGTACTTGACGGAACAAAGATAGAAGTTAGAAAAGGTTAAAATTGCTCTTGAGTGAGAATAAAGTTATTAGAGTGTCAATTTAACAAGTGTGAAGAAGGTGTGAAAATATATGAAATTGATAATAGTGAATTAATTATTAAAGCAAAAGCAAACTAAAAGTGAAATTAAAGATTAAGAATAAAATCAAAAATATTTTTAACAGGGAAGGATAAGTGAAGAGGTTAAGACCAAGGTAGAATAAGAGACTGGACAAACCTTTTCTGTATACAGAGATCAAAAGAGGAGATCTGATGGCTCTCTTCAAAGATCGATCTACAGGAAACCAACATGGAATGGTCAGTACACAAATTTCCATAGCTGGGTCCCTTTAAGAAGAAAGAGAAATTTGATCCATTCCCTATCCTCAAGAATAAGGAGGATATGTTCAAGTGATACAATCGATGGGGAATTGGAGCGACTCAGACAAGTTCTCATAGAGAATGGATATCCTCCAAGATTCATCGAGAAAAATATGAAGCTAAGAGAAAAGCCCGAAAGAATTCAGACTGTGCCGAAGAAACTGCTCTTTATGAGTGTTGAATTTAAAGGTGATACTGCAGCTGAGATCTTGAAGAATCGCTTACGCAGATCACTGAGGAAAGCCTTCTTTATGGCTGAGCTACGTATCAATTTCTACAGCCGACGAATGATCAACGGATGTGTAAAGGATGAGCTGCCGCTTTGGGCCACCTCAATGTGTGTTTATAAATTCACATGCTCGTGTGGAGCAAGTTATATTGGCCGCACAAAGCGCACGCTTTCCAAACGCATCTCTGAACATTATCCGGCATGGTTAGCAAAGGGACAATACAAGACAATTACTAGCTCAATTCTCGAGCATTTGGTGAACTCAGGCCACGTAGCTCCACCAGAGTCGTCTTTCAGCATCATCTACAAAGTGAAGCCAAATTGTACAAAAGGCGTCAGGTTCCGGCTTTTGTGTATGGCGGAGGCGCTGGCAATACATCAATACAACCCTGATCTCTGTATACAGAAAAGGTTTGTCCAGTCTCTTATTCTACCTTGGTCTTAACCTCTTCACTTATCCTTCCCTGTTAAAAAATATTTTTGATTTTATTCTTAATCTTTAATTTCACTTTTAGTTTGCTTTTGCTTTAATAATTAATTCACTATTATCAATTTCATATATTTTCACACCTTCTTCACACTTGTTAAATTGACACTCTAATAACTTTATTCTCACTCAAGAGCAATTTTAACCTTTTCTAACTTCTATCTTTGTTCCGTCAAGTACCATGTAATTTACAACTTTTAATTTTCACCTCTAAAGCCACTTATGATTAATTACAGCAATTATGTCACCCCCTATTATTCAATAATAGACCACTATACATTCTTCTAAGTATAAATACGACTGTACAGCCTCTGAAGATGATTTCGTCGATAAAGAAAATTTTCTTCGCTGAATCCGTCTTTTATTTTCTTCATGACTCAATGGGTATTTTCCGTGATTTCAAAATTTTAGTTTAAGGCGTTTAGCTACTAACAAAGTAATAGTAGTAGATCTGTTCTTGAAACAATATTATTTGATTGTTAGTTACTACGGTTGGAATCTGTGACGTACAATTCATCCTGTTTGAGAGATCAGTCAGCTGTTTTTTTTCTTACCTCCCAACGAGTGAGATAGTGTTCCCACTGAAAACTTCTCACTACAAATGCATAAGCATCATCCAGAAAAGTCATAGTTCCGGTGAATTTCTAACCACACTTCACATTCTTTTAAGAATTAACATACACTCTAAAGTGTGTCGGAGGCACAGCGGTTAGGTTGCTGGCGGACCATGAACATGGTCTGGGGTTCGATCCCCGGCTGACTCACTCCTTTACCTCCCTAGACCAGAATTAATGCTGGTGAAGTGGAAAGGTTTGGCATGGAGCTAGCAACCCCATCCTGTAAAATTAAACACTGCCACAGAAACTTCAAGCCACTAGCATGAGGCCTTATGTTCCACTGGGAACGTGAAGGGAAAACAAAATACATTCCGAAAATCAGGATTTCAACCCTTACAACAAATTGTTTTAGTGTACTTGAGGTGGTTTAATGAATTCTATCCAGATTATACTAGCGGCATGATTGTATACAATTCGGTCTGTATTCTTAGAATATGTGAATTTATCTACAAAAGCCCTTCTTAGCGTTGAGGTTATATGATGAATTTAAGGGATGTCAGAAGATCCGTCCATGTTTCCTATAGAATATTTAGGGTTGTCTGTATTCAAAGTAACCTTCAGAAAAGATAGTTGGCCAGGATTTGTTGTTTAGGTGAGACAAAAATATAACTTTCTATATGAATTTACTTGTCAGTTGGTCTACTCTCTACAAACTTCCAGTCGTATGTTCTGATTGGTTACCAATTTTCTGAAGGTTGAAGCTTGAGATTATTTCCTGTCGACAATGTAAACTAGATTTATGTTTGAGAAATAAACGCTTCTACTTCTGTAATGACTGACTTAAAATGTTGCTTTCAATTTTAGCTACTTTCTATCAGTCTAAGTCTATATTCAAACTGATAATTCTTGTCAGTAGCACACACCGCACTAGTATTATTATTATTCTTTCCTTTAGTTCCTAGAGAAACATAGGGCTTCAGTCGCACGTCTCCACTGTGTTCGGTTCTCTGACATCGTTTTCACCTTGCTGCACATCTGTCCACATGCTTTCATCTCTTCACATCACCTCCTCCATGTTACCCCACCCTCGCACTGACGACTAAATAACTCGCCACTTCCCATTCGGGTTCCACTCGAGGGCCCATCTAGTGCTGTCACTTGAGGGTTTCCTAAGAGTACGACCAGTCCACCCCTATTTCTTCCTGCTTATTTGTTGCACAATCAGTTCCTGGTTGGTTCGTTCGCTCCCAGAAATCCCTGTTGCTGATCTTTTCTGGCTAGCCATCTAATCTTGGGTAGTAATGAGTGGAGATAGCTGTTGATGAAGGTCTGTAGTTCGAAGTGCCCTTCGTGTCGTGGCACCAAGTCTCTTTTCCGTATAGAAGCACTGACATCAAATTGAAGTTGAAAATCCGGGTCTTATTTTTCATGCTGAGTGCTGTTAATCTCTACCAAGACTGGAAAGAAATGAAAGCTTGCCTTGCTTACTCCTTTCTTGCTTTGATATCCTGGTCAGTTCCGTTCGCCTGTAGTTGAAACAATGCTTCATAGGTTGGTAGGTAGGTAGAAGAGGTTGCTTCTTTCAGATTTCTCTCATTTACGCTGGCTGACTGTCGTTGTTGGCCAGGAATCTTCATCACCACTGTTTCCTGTATGTTTACCTGAAGTCCTATCTTCTGTAGATGCTTCTTCCTCCAACTTGTTTCTTTTCATTTGCATATCTTCCAGTTTGTGGGAAATCACACATATATCATCGGTGAAGTCCAGATCCTCCAAGTTTTTTTGTGAGTTCATTTTATGCCTGATGCCTCACTGCCTACCGTCTGTCGCATTATCCAGTCTCCTGCAATCAGTAAAATCATTGGAGATAGTAGGCAGCCAGTCAACTAGCCTTTTCTTACTCCTATCTTCACTTCTTCGAAGGATTCCGCGAGTTTCCCGATGTGGATTACTGGACATGTGGCACTGTAGTACAACTGTAGAATGAGATGGATAATTGTTGGCACAGTACTACTGCTACTGGGGTGAGAGCTGACTGTTAGCCAAATTGGTAGACAGCAATTTACGTTGATGTTAACGTTCCCAAAATTGGTCGTGAGAAAAATACGAACAAAGACTGACTCAACAACTAATCACAGTAGACTTTGCGTAGGCGAATACAATTAGCATATAGATGATCTGACATTCATTAAACAGCCACAAAGAGATGAAAGATTAACTTTCAGTGAGAAACAACCAATCAGAAGACTGTGTTTTTCTGCTAACAATAATCTATAATAATGTACATGAAAATCTGTAAATATGTGTCAGTTTCCTTAATAAACGATCTGTTGCCTGGCCCTTGTCTTCTATTGTTACACTACTACTACTACTATTAGTAGACAACAAAAAGGTAACCACTTTACGAATGGATGATGATTACCTATCTCTTTTAATTTTTCCCCTTCATATCAAATAGTGTTGTTTATTTTAAACAATTTTATCATGTTTTCGTTCGTTTATTTGTTTGTATGTTTTTTTTCCCAGCTGAAAAGGAAGGCTGTCCCAGCAATTCTGTAAACACTGAAGAATGTCCAACATTCAATTTTTTAAGTCCATTATTTCTAGCTGTTTATTTAATGATTGCTGCAATCCTACTGATGAATTTATTGATTGCAATCTTCAGGTAAATAAAAAAAACAAATGGGTTTCTTTTTGTTTTATTGTATTACTTGGATGAATTTGGTGTATATGCATGTGTATGATGTCTGGCAGCATTTCAGTCTTTCTATATTCATGAATTCTGGTGTTAATTAACTTTCTTTTGTTAATCTTACCAATTATGGCATAAAGTGTAACCAAATCTGAGCACTCACATAAGTAAATTAGGGAAAACATACGTAGGTAAAAAGTGGATAAAGTAAAACACAAAATAACCACTTTTTCCAGCTTTTCCCACGATGTCACTCACTTCTTTCCCCGTCTTCTCAAAGAGTTAATAACCCTTTCCTTACCCACTTCCCGCACGTTTTTACTGGACAAACTACCCAATTTTGAAAGGAATGCTGCCCAGGATTTTACCCATCCATATTCATGGAAAAAATTCTCTAACTTGGAAATAAAAGCATTCTAACTAGGAGCCTCTTAAATATACGTGTCCCACCGACATCCAGAGGGTTCTCTATTAGATCTTATTCCGTTTTCTCACAGTCGGTAATCAAATCCCTTCATTGGAAAATAATTTTCAGATACCTTTTATCACGTTACATGCCTTCATTTTAAGTGTTTGAAAATTGGAAGACATGAAAAGCCTGGCTAGCTGTCTTTGACCATCGGTGTCTGTATTCTGTCTCTCATGTTAGGTGATGACATAATAGAGTGACTAATACTGAGATTAACAGCCGAGTGTGAAGCTACATCTAGGATATGTGTTACAGAAAATATTAGCTGACATAGGATTAGGCTGGAAAAGATCTAGCGTTAGTAAAACCCAAAAAACAGGGCTTTATCAGTCCATGAAACCCACAGCAATTAGTTTAAGCCAGCCAGCCACGTAGGGAGGTGTTGGTTCCGTGTCGTCAGGATGGCAAGAACCAATAAAGGCTGAAGACAACTGGTGATGTCTCCAAAATCCTCGTTGTCGATGGCTGTCTGTCTGTCTGTTTTCGATATGGAACTTTTCACAAATGTGCGGAAGTTCAAGTCGCCACACTCCTTCCTTGTAGCACACAAAGCAAGAGAAAAAATGACAAGAAATGCATAATAGAGACAGTAAACAGAGGTGTGAGACAAAGGAAGAGTAATAACGAAGAACAAAACAGTTTCATTGGAAATCATACGTCACAAGGAGTGGATGCATCTGCGCCAGCCACTGACAACGATTTTGAGCCATGCCATCAATTGTTTCCAACCATTGATTTTTACCGTCCCGAGGATCCCAACCAGTCAGGAAGTCTACACCTTCCTACGTGGCTTAGGCTAACTGTTGTAGATTTCATTGATTGGTGACATGTTTTTGTTTGACCTCCGCTAGCTCTTTTCCAGCCTGACCCTATATCAGCTAACATTCCTCATTGTGGAGGAAGGCGATGACTAGGCATGCATCCGTAACACATGTCCTAACCATCTCAGTCTTTGTAACTTCACAACCTCGTTGATTGATTTCCCCTGTTTACCTAGAACTCGACGCCTAACCTCAATATTGGTCACCTTTTTATGCCACTTTACACGGGAAATAGAGTGCAGGCACCTATGATCAAAGACAGTTAGCTAATCTTTTCATGTGTTACACTCTCAGTGGCCAGGTCTCACAGCCATATAGGAGAATGGAGCGGACTGATGAGCAGTACACACGCCCTTTGGTCAATAGTCGAATATCTCGTCTACTAGGCCAGAGACGGCGTAAACTGGCAAATGCGAAACGAGCCCCCTGTATTCGTGCTGAGATTTCGTCAGAGATCAACCCGTTGGCACTGGCTGATGGTGCTTCCCAAATAAGAGAAACGGTCAACGTGCTCTACCACTTCACTTCCTATTTTTAAACTAGGAGTCGCTGTAGTCCAGTCCTGCAACATCATCTTGCATTTGGCGGGAGCGAATCGCATGCCAAACATTCGTAGATTGCAGCTCAAGGTGTTTAGAAGACTCTGCTGTATTCTGTCAGCGTCCTGGCCTAGGAGGACTATATCGTCTGCATATTCTAAGTCAACGAGATTATTCCCACCCTGGTAGCAAGTCAATCCCTGAGTCGCTGAAGTCGATGGCTGGCGTAGATATATACGCTCTTTGTGATTTGTTGTCATATCCAGTAAAAACCCTATTGTTCTTCCATCATATTACTATTCTCTTTCCCTCTCATACTTGAAACTCTTTTTACTCTCTTCTCTTGCTTTGTTCGTGCCACATGAAGAGAGAGCGTGGCAACTCGAACTGGTACACATCATCTGTGCTAAGTTCTATGTCAGCGCTAAATTTTCCATTCTGTATGAAAACAAAATTATTGTTTGGAATAAATTAATGCCTATGCTTATTATTATTATTATCATTATTATTATTACCAATTATTTTCTTTGTGCTTTTTTATTATTCCAAAACTTCAGTAATGTATTTGAGAAAATTGAGGAGAATTCAATTGAATTATGGAAATTTAATATATTATCTTTGGTGTTGGAATACAGTAATCGACCAATTCTGCCTGTACCGCTGTCTGCTGTTATAACTATCGCTGAATTCATCATATATTGTCTTTGTATGAAACAGATTACAGGCAAAATTACACATCGTAAGTTTATAACTGAGTTATGAGATATTTTTTTCCTTCTCACGTTCCCCAGTGGAACATTACGGCCTCAAGCTATTGGCTTGAAGTTTCTGTAGCAGTGTTTATTTTACAGGATGGGTTGCTAGCCTCATGCCCAAACTTCCCTCTTTGTCAGCATTACTTCTGGTTTAGTGAAGTAAAGGAGTGCATTGGCGGCCGGGAATCGAACCCCGGACCATGTGCATGGTCGGCAAGCGTCCTAACCGCTATGTCACCGACGCACGAGATAGTTAATGTTAATAATTGTTATTATTTACGCTTTGGGGCACAGCGGTGAAATGCTCACCAACCACGCCTCATGTATTTCGGAGTTCGGTCACCGACCAATGCACTCCTTTACCCCGCTAAACCAGTAATAAGACTGGTGAAGAGGGAAAGCTGAGCATGAGACTGGCAACCCCATCCTGTAAACATACCATAAAGCCACTGGATCATTGGATCGGGTCCCAGTGGCTTAATGGTCTATGAACTCGCCTTGTAACCAGAAGGTCCTGGGTACAAACCCTGACGGTGGGTGCGTACTGCTGAAGAGTCCCAGACTAGGACGAAACAGCTTTCCAGCACTCCCAGGTTTTCCGATGGTTCTCTAACCAGTGTCAGCTCATGATGAAATATTGCAACCAAAATTATTATTATTATTATTACTTGCTGTATTCCAAAACAGTACTTATATGATATGGTGCGGAATTCTGAGCATTTGATGCGATATCGCATTTAATTTACTTGACAACAGAAAACGCAAAATAGAAAATAATAATACAGGGTATACGTAACCATATGTTGTGACCATATATGTTGTAGAGGAGGACGTTGAATAACATCGAGCATCAGGCAAGATATTGCTCTAGTGGAATTCCCAATAAAAAGCGGCGACGAGTGGATCATCGGTGCGACGGTGTCATCGAGGGGATGGTTCGAGAAGGAGGAAATGAAAGATTACGATCAATCATGTACCAAAGTGAAGAGGATATCAGATAATAGGGCAAAGTGGAGATGTGTTGTTAAAGCCCTATGTTCCACTTGGAACCCAAGCGAATAATAATAATATGTAACCAGAAGTGATAATAGCATTTTTTGACAGTAGCAGTGACAATAAAGCCAAAAATTGTACAAAACGTGTAAAATAATGATAATCATGTTAATAGCTCAAATTATAAGGTGATCGAAATAGTGTGGAGAGTCAGACAATATAGATTTAGACCATTTCTCACATGAGTTGTTCAGATGTCTATCAACTACAACATTAGTGAGCTGACTTAGCGACTCATTGCGTGTCTTACTGTGATTTAGGCCTATATGAATAATCTAGGAAAGACTATGAGGGATGCAAGAGTTAACGAGTTGTAAAACTAGATGTTGAGTGATACCTACCTGATTCTCCTAAATTCTTAATGCAGTAGATCAGACAGAAGATTTTCTTAGAAATCGACAAAATATGGGATGATGGACCAGGAGAGGCGAGAGGATAGAAGTATTCCAGGGTATTCTGCGCTCGAGTTGGTTTCTGTTTCAATGCCCTCTATGCTACAAGCATCTTGTGAACGGACCAGTTCATATAGATCACCTTTTTTCAAAGTTTTACATACTTCATCTTGAATATTCTTTTAATCGTCTGTTCGCAAATAATGTTTTTTCAGTCTTAACAGTTTATCTCTATACGAAGAGATACCATAGTGTAGAACATCTCCATTTCACCCTGTTCTCTGCAGCCCTCTTAAGCTGGCTCAACGTTTATTCATTGTCTGTCATCTCCTCCTCACACAAACTCCTTCATTTTACGCTACGCTAGCCTGTGGCGTAACATCACTCAACGGTCTTCCTAGCGTGTGTGCGCTTGACCTTATTTCCTTCGGAATATCCTCTGAGCAATAGGTTCTTTGTTGGCTTGTCCCCAGAATTTTTGTTGATCTTCAATATGGCGTCAGAAAAGGCAGCTGTTGAGAAAAGCCTGTATCTGGCTTCTGGAAATACTTTCTGGAATGCGCCAAGTTTCTATTTATCCTGCAAATATTTTCATTCTTGCTTTCTTCAGTCATAATTACATGAAGCAAACATGTTAGAAGCTGTTGTCCTATTTAAAAATACATATATTATTATTCCCTTGGGTTACGAGTGGAACATAGGGCTTCAGTAACACATTTCCACCTTGTTCTATCCTTTGGCGTCCTATTCATTTGGCTAGCCCCACGATTGCCCATAATCTCTCATCTCCTCCTCCATGTCACCCTCATACCGACCACCAGCTCGTCGCTTCCCATTAGAATTCCACTCGAGCGATGGCCTGCATTGCGCGCGATGCCATTTTACGGTCTCCTCAACGTGTGCTCGATCCATCCATCTCCATTTTCTCCTGCTTTGTTTGTTGAGCGGTCGGCTGTCGCCTCTTGGTTTGTTCCCAGCTAGAGTTTCTTGTTGCTAATTCCTTCTGGTCAGCCGGTCACTTGATCTTTAGTATAGAGCGTGTAGTTTTTGTCAGTGGGGAGGCCTCACGGTCCTCCCTTTTTTGTGTGCGTCGGTGGCACAGTGGTTAGGATTCTCGCTGACCATGCACATGGTCCGGGGTTCGAACCCTCGCCGACGCACACCTGATATCTATGGTCGAATTGCGAAATTTGGGCTACCTATATCCACGCTGAAAATTCCATATGTGTACCAAAAATACGGTGTGGAATCAAGCTGTAATCAAAAATTAAAAGAAAATAAATAAGAAGGTGGCAGCTGTTGATGAAGGTCTGCAACCTGTTGGAAATCCTTTTCGTGACGTACACGCTGTGCACGTTTCTGACCTGTATAGAAGGACTGACTTGACACTGGTGTTGCAAATCTGAATCTTGTTCCTTAGGCTGAATGTAGAAGATCTCCAAACTGGTTTCAGGGTGATGAAGGCATGCGTATCTTGTCTTTCCGATTCTGGCCAGCTTTGACATCTTCATCCGGGCTGTCGCCTGTACTTGAAACGATGCTTCCTAGACAAGTGAAGGAGCTAACCTCTGTTATATTCTTAATTCACTTTTAATATCACTACTGCTTGACTGGACCAAAATGTTCAGCTTCATATGGAGCGAAAATCAAAACTGAATTAAAAACAGGTGATACTGATTGATGCGTGTTGAACAAGAGATGGCTCTCGTAGCCTGCGTGGTTTAGTGGATAACATCTTGGCGTTTGAAACGATGAGTACTGGGTTCAAGGGAGTCTGTGTGGGAAGACTACCACTGAAGCAAACATCGATAAGCTTCTGTCTTGTTTAAAATACAACTTTCAAAATATACAGATGTGCAGTTGGCGAAATCACTTCTTTTCACGAAGTAACCTCCTAAGACAATAACTGAAGTCTTCCTATCGAAGTAATAGCTTAGAAAGTAACAAAACTATGACACTATCCTTTAACTAAGTTAAAATTAAGAAATGTTGTGGGAAGTACCCATCAGGATGTTAAAGGGCCAAAAAGAACAAGAAGTTCAGCAGCAAAGATATCTATCTTTTCAGTGATTTCACCTTCAAAATCTGTACAATCTTACTTCTTTTATACATAAGTTCACACAGTTACACAATTATGATTAAATTCCTCGGAATAACTAACGAGGAGACTAAAGGTGATAATTATCTTCAACTTGATATGAAACCTTGAAGACGTGAATGTAAATTACAAGGGGCAACGAAACAAAATTCCTTAAGATAAGAAAATAGTTTTTTTCAAGAATACAGGTGTGAACAGGAATAGTATGGAAACAAATTTAAATAGTAGTTTTTTATAACTGAAATAAAAATAATATGAAGGGAATTTAAAAAAAAAACAAATACTAAGGAATTACACCAAACTAGATCCATGGTAAATGTGGAGGTTGGACTACTTTCTTTTGAACACATAGTTCCGGCTTCTTAATACACCTATGGTGAGGATTTCTTCAGCACAAAAAGGTTGGAAACACATTGCCTTGGCTAGATTTTCGCTCATTCCGTAAATAACTCTAAATGATAAGTCAGTTAAGATGAGACAAGTGTTGACAAGGTGTTCAGTTATAGCACTTCTGACCATGAACCAGTGCCTCCTGTTTGCAGCCATGCTGGGTAATGTTCTCTAACACGTTTTGATGATAGGACTTGCATAGAATGACCTATGAATCTAACTCTAGAGGAGAAGGCAAATTCATATATGCACATTAGAGTGGCCATATAGGGGAGTTTGTTCTTCAGATTACTTAAAAGCATTGAGCTGCCAGAGAATATCAGTCTTAGTGCTGTTGCAGGAAGTCTTTTTTAGGGGACTACAGATTATCCTCTTTATCTATCACTAAGTCTCGTAAAGTCCAGGTTCTTCTCCACGAAACTATTCTGGATATCCATTTTAATCAGATAACGTGTGTGCGTGACCGCACACCTCATTCGTTTTCTGTATACTTTTATTTTGTAAACATTTTCCGACTCAATTTGACATATTTCCATATTTATTTATTTATTTAGATATGTGACACAGTTAGGGAAACAGTGTTGTTTGCTGAATGACGAAGTTTCGAACACAATTCTCTATTGTTCTTAATCACGCTGTATCAATTGCAACTACACAACTTCGCAACCTTCGTCTTATAGTTTTCTCTATCCTTTCCTATTCATCCTAGGGATAGTAGAATTTTCTAGATGTGCAGTTGGACAGGTGGCGAATCATTCCTATCACACGTATTTTCAGTTGATTCGATAAACAAAGCTTCTGTTATCGATTTCTCCCTCCACTCTGTTATAGTAGATTTTAAGATTGTCACTTTATCCCATCCTATTGAATGGTTGGTAGTGTATATCTGAATTTACTGCTGCCATAGTTCAACTATTCTCTAGATTTCATATCTTGGTGTCTGTCCAAGCAATCTTGATCTTGATAAGTTTTAATGCTGGTCTGATTGATCCCGCTCGACTGCTTGGACCTAAGTATTCGACTTGACGATCATTCCAGGGTATTAGATAAACTTAGCTGTCTTGCTTGGTGGGCTCCACAGGGTCCTTTTGCCGACAAAGCTTGTTTCTAATTGAGTTTGTGGGTGATTGAATGCCACTTTTATTCCTTCCTGATTAGTCAAAAATTCTGCGTAAGCTTTCGGAGGTTCCTTCTTTGTGTGGAAGTACTACAGATTGTTTATATTCCCTACTTTTGGTGTTGTCATTATCCTGTGCATGTTTGATATGCATGTCGCCATTATTATTATTATTACCACTATCACTACTATTATTATTTATTTTATTTCAACATTTCCCTACATACTTTCTGATTAATTCATCCGGGTAATTATTCAGGTTCAAAGCTTCCTTTATATGCCTCACTTCCTGTCTTCGATTTTCCTTGGAACTACTTAGGTTTTGTGCTCTGTCACTTAAACATTTCACCATTCCTATTTTTACTGACATGGGATGGGATGATCAGAAATCCAAATATCGGTTTGAATGTGTAGGTTTCCAGTAAACACTAGTGTTTAACTTCCCATCTTCTTTCTTTTTTATGCTACAATCTAACACTGGAATCTCCCTTTCCTGACTTTCTCATTCATAAGTGAATTGAATTGCCTCCACCTTGTAGTTTGTGTGTTGGAAAAATCCACTTATGTCCTGAGTTCTACGTACGATGAATGCATCATCTATCCACCTCTACCTCCACCTCCAAAAGTATGGCGTTAACATTTTCCGACTCAATGTGATGCCCATTTCAACCAGTAAATTAGTCAATAACTGATGTATTATTGAGTTATGTCATGCAAAGACAGCACTCTTACCCTCTTCCTTTCAAAATATTTTCAAGTTTTAAATAGATTCACTACACCATTTTATATGACGACAGAGTCCAAGGTTGTCGACGATGATACACCATCTGATCGTGATGATACTGATGCAGAGAAGGTGTTAACAACCGGTGATGAAAGCAAATGCACTTTTGAATGTTACAGTTACACATCCAGATTGGTACCTGATTATTTAAGGCTAACACCAGTTGTAATCGATCAGAACAGTAAATATTTTGATGAATATTTCAAGGCGAAACAAGTGGAAAATTTTTGTAAACGAAGTCTGTTGAAAGAGGAACAACGATCAAACACGGTGACCAGCTGTCCACAAAACAATGCAATGTTGCTTTCGGTAAGCATTGAGGATCTTTTGTTTTGGTAATTCAAATGGTTTTTGTATAATCTACGTTGGTTATTGGAGTAGGACATAAAATGGTAAATTTGATAACAGTGGACGTTTTGTTATCACAGTAGTTATCATGTACAATAATTTTTTAAGATTATGAATTAATTAGTTTCACGTCAAAAATGCCTTTATCCACTACACACTTGAAATAGTCAGGAATGCTTGATTCTGTTGAAGTCACTTGCGAATCAGAAAACGATAAATGTCATTTCTGACAAATTTCTTCATACCCTTGCCGACAAATAGAGATGAATACCACCAACAGAGCTTTATATCGTTATTATAATCTTTACTTGTACCTGTTGGCTTACCATGTTTTATGTTCTTGTTATATAGTACATCTCTGTCAATTTCTCAGCTCTAATCCTCGATCATTATATGAACGGGAAATACTATTGTAAGGACAGAACACAAGGGCTTGGCAACAAATCGTTTTTTGAGAAAATCAACAGATATTTATAGATTTTTATGTACATTATTAGTCGTTATTATTAGCAGAGAAACAGTGTCTTCTCATTGTTTGTTTTCTCGCTGGAAGTTATTCTGTCATTTCTTTGTTGCTGTTTCTTTGAAGGTCAGACGATATACATACCTACCTGCGTAAAAGTTTGTAGGACTTTCTTCTTGGATCTGTTTCTAAAAGTTCTGATTCTATCAGTAAGACTAATTTCCTCTGTATATAACTGACTTGTGACAGAAGCATTTTTCGGCGAGAATCTATCCAAGATTTCTCATATTGTCTCCTCCCTCTTCTCTGTCACGAAAGCACGCTTCGAGGTGTTGATGAAGCGTTCGGCTTGTCCATATGACTGGGGATAATATGGAACTGGACGAATATGACAGAAAACTGGCGTAAAGTTCAGCTTCAGGAGCGAAGAGACTTGGATAAACTTGCAGCAACCAATTTTCTCCTTGGAAGACTGGAGCATGATTTTGACACAAACGGTGCAATAGAGATTGGCATGATGCATGATTTGAAATAAAATCACTTGATAATGATAATAATACGCTAGAACATACTGAATTTAGTGGAACATTCGAGGTTTTGAGCTTATCAATCCAATTAAGACGAAGTGAATTCAAATCATGGCGGTTTGTTTTATGAATACTAAATGTCCTTTTTACAAGGGTACGCAGTTCAATGCTTATGATCCAACTGACATGATAAATGACACTGTGCTATGCATCTCAATGAGTGGTATGAGTGAATATTAGAAAGTGAACCACACTGATCACTACTACTGCTGCTTGCTGGTCAAATGGATCTGATTTTCAAAACCAGACGACAACTCAACTAGTCTATGCCAAAGGTGGTCGACAATTTCTTTGGACTGAATGTATGAGTAGATTCAAACGACCATTATGAATCAACAGTATACACCATTCACGTATTTAGGTGTTGACCGTTTAACCTTACTTCTGTAACGACAGAAGCAATGGGTAAGATAACTGGGAGTTTATTGAGAAAGTCAACAGATATTTATAGATTTTTATGTACATTATCGTCAACGGGGAAGCGACCTCTTTTGATTGGTTGTTGTCTTGCTGAAGGTTATTCTGTACTGCTTGTTTCCGTTTCTTAGAAAGTTAGGCCATAAATCTGTGAATCGTATTTGCACACGTTAAGTCTGCTGTGATAGGTTGGTTAGGCTTTTTTGTTGTTGTTTTTTCTCATGAACCCGATTCGAGACGTAACATTGACGTAAATTGTTGTCTACAATTTATAGCTTCCAGCTAGCTCTCAACACACTTCTATACCTGTGGTTTCCGTTAACGGAGACATTGATTAGCCTTAACACCTTTAATATATACCTCCTACCCTAATGCAAGGTCTCTGTAGCCTTCTATAGGTGGCAAGAGATAAGTGAATCGAAGAATATCTTTTGAATGCAATTTTCTTCATTTATTTGATCTCGTCTCTGTAAATAAAAATTGCTATCTTACACGTACGTCTCTAGCTGTGACCAATAGTGAAGAATGGCGCCATCTTTCGGAAGATGTTAACACCCACTTGAAACTGATAACGTCTTCTGTTAAAGCATTTGTGCTACACACATCCGTTTACCTACCAAGTGTTAACTACACTACACAGTACTGCTGGCCTTTAAAGACACATTTGTGAAAATTGCAACTGTGTAACTCCCAATACCTTGGAAGAATTATTATTATTATTGTTCCCTTGGGTTCCTAGTGGGACATAAGGCTTCAACTGCACGTCTCCGCTTGCTGCTATCTTCTGCTGTACTTTTCACCTGCATCCATATTAGTCCACACTGTTTCAACCCCTCTTCACACGATCTCCTCCATGTCACTCTTGCACTGACATCCTACTCGCCGCTTTCCTTTCGGCCTGGTTCCACTCGAGCAATAGCCTGACGTCCGCGCGATGTCACCCAGCGGCCTCCTCAGCAAGTGTCCAATCCATCTCCACTTTCTCCCAAATTTTTGTTGGTTGGCGATTGGTTCTTGTTTTGTTTGTTCCCATAGTTCGTCGTTGGTGATTCTTTCCGGCCATCTGATCTTCAGTATAGATCCAGCGAAGACAGTTGTTGGTAAAGGTCTGCAACTGGCTGTTGGAAATATTCTTTGTGACCCGCCTGCCAAGTTTCTGATCCGTATACAAGAACTGACTGACTTTACGTTTGTATTGAAGATCCGAATTTTGTTGGTAATGCTGAGTGACGAAGATTTCCAGATTGATTTCAGGTTGATGAATGTGTTTCTCGCCTTCCCCATTCTCGCTCGATTTGACATCCTCGTCCGTTCCGACTGGCTGTAGTTGAGACAATGCTCCCTAGATAAGTGAATGAAGTAACCTCTTTCAAATCCCTCCCGTTGATAGTGATTGGAACTGGATGTTGTCGTTGTTGACTGGTTATTTTCATAATCTCCGTCTTGTCTATGTTCACCTGGAGTCCTGTCTTTGCCGGCTGCTTCTTCGACCAGTTTGTCGCTTTTCTCTTGTAAGTCTTCGATGTTGTGTGACATCAAACATAAATCATCCGCGAAATCCAGGTCTTCTAGGTTGCTGGTGGTCAATCTGAAATTTAGACGTAGAATCCTAAGTTAGAAAGTTGACATCCACGAAGTGTAACACTCATGTATCTCAACGTGATAATTCTGCCTAATTAAGAATAGATTTGTAAACGAGTCAGGATAGTCATGGAAAGTAATAAGTCTCTCCAAAAATTATAGGTACGCTTTGCTGACCGGTGAATACCAACAAGCAGAAAACCTAAGTTCAAAGTTTTCTGCTGATCGCCTCCAAGCATCTGAGTGCACCATGATGGCCACATTGCTAAGTTGACCGATGGAATTCACTCCGCATCAAATGAAGAACTAGACACCATGACATTAATAACTACCTCGTATCCAATAAAAGGTATCTTATTTAGTGATGAAGTCACCAACTGTTGATTTGATTTTAGGAGACGAATTCAGGTCCCTAACTTGTGATCCACATGAACACAAAATCCTGTGGTTGTATGGATAAGAAAATAGACATACAAACAACGGAATCCATTTTTGTTTGATTTGTTCTTCACTGGCTGTCTTCTTTTGCCTTAACTTCCTTCACCGAAATAGGAAAATAAGGCTATCCTGAAATTCCCTTTCTGTTACAAATTAGTTAGAGTGGCTGTACGTCCTAACACCAAATACCCTGTCATGAAATGTATATGCCTACAATTCAAGCGCGCGTTTTATTTGGAGCGTTTAATAAGAGGCAGTTAGGAGTATTGGAATGTACTTTTATGTCTTTTTGTCTTTATTTCACTTTTAAAAATGAGATGTATTCAATCCATTGGGGTTGTAATTCATGTCACCCAAAACGATAGTCTTCAAGTTTCAAGGAACTCATGTCCATCAAAGAGTACAGATACGCGTTGCTGACTGTTGAGTGCCAACTGGCACGAAACCTAGGTCGAGCAAGGCTTCCTGCCGATTGCCTCCAACCATCTAATAACTGGTCATTTGTTTATCTATGTATCTTTGCTTTGTTTTTTTTTGTTTGTTTTTATTTGCTAGTGATAAATCATCTCTAAGATTTGATTAGAAACAAAACCCGGTTCAATCCAATGAATATAAATATATACCTTCAACAACTGAAGAGTTTACTGTTTTCAATTGAACATTGAATGCACTTTAATGAATATTTGAAGTAATATATACATATATAATCAGCGACAGTATTGGCTTTATTTTTTTATTTTACTTCATGTATAAATTTTGAAGTTGTTTTTTTCTCACTTCTATGCCTATACTATCCTACTTTATTTTCTCTAATGGATTATTACCTATTTTGAGTATGGAGTGATATGTTTACCGCTTTTTGATACCAGTGTATACTGAATTTTATATCCTGTACCACATTTTGACACCACTTTTTTTAATCTTTATTTAATCGTATACGTCACCATTCAAATGTACTCATTTATTATGAACAAGATATTACACATATTTAACCCCCTTCGCGTTTCGTCATTTCTCTGCTCTATTTGTTATTTGTATTCATCATTATAGGCTTCTACAGTATCCTTTTAAATCAAATTTTAATATTGATCTTTCTTTTCTTTTTTTATAGCTGTTTTCACTTTTGATTTAATTTTATTGAAACATTGAAAGTGAATTCAGTTTCCAACGAATCTATACCAAGAGTTTGCAATGTTGATTCGATTGGATTCACAGTGAAAATTTGCTTGTATTTTCTAATTTACTGTGTTGTTTTATTGGTATTAATTAATTCTTTAATTTTGAATACAGCACTTTGAGAAGCACTTGACCTTCAGATAGTTGCCGTCAGATTCAAATCTTTGACTTAGGTAGTACGAAATCCACCGATGATAACTTAACAAACTCGCGAAAATCTGGCGTTATTGAGGAATACTTAGCATTGAAGTTGACCATGTGGTTTAAGATACTCATGACTAGTGCTAACAGTGGTTCGAGTAGTAGTTTTGATCTCAAGTTAATTGATATCAAAGTCAATATTTAATTGCGGTTATGCATCATACCATTTTGCTGATTACCAGCATCTTTTCAATTACCTTGGCAGTAATCTCATAAAGCATTCCACTGCTTTGAGACTGTCTGTAGCGACACATTTCTCTATGATTTTAGAACAGTTTTAATGTGCCTCGTAAAGTCCGTCTTTATGATAAATGGCAATCATATAGGCGTCACTCTATGGAATTTCATTCTCCACAATATCGGAACGGTAAGCGTTGAACCTCATTTGAAACATCTGGTCTTGCAGGAGTTGAACCAGGGCAGTAATTGGGAGGTGCTGTTTATATTCTGATGTAAGCTACAGAAGTGCTGAATGGTTTGAACATATACTCTGAGGCACTTTAACTAACCACTGGTGCCCACCAGAGTTATCATATGTTGCATACTTAGGATGTTGTTCTGCGAAACGAGGCAAAGAGCATACGAGAAGAAGGACTCTAAAGTGACCATCTATCAGGGGCTTCAGGCAAAGTGCCCCTTTTTCTTTACTGATAGTACCCACATGAGTCAGAGAATCGTGCAGTTCACCCATCGTTAGCTTCTGATGCCGATATCGTATGTTGAACTATGAAGAATGATATCTAAGCTGTTAAATCAATGACTTCACTGGACCACCGAAACCCTGACTGCATGGATTTTGATAGATACTCAACTCACACAATGTATCATATTCAGCTGAACCTAATTTGTATAGCGACCGGCCCGCCTCCCTCGATAATCATCCTGTTATGTAAAATCAACCTTAAACAGGTCTTCATAATGTCTAAGCTGTAAGTAAGCAGTGACAGTAACATCTGTATTATAAGAGAAACCATTAATGCCGTTTACAACGTCTCCAGATTCCTCAATGATACGCGGTAGATACAATCCTACAAAAGTGTATTTGATTACTCGTGATATACGTAATCTGTCTCACACATGTACGGTAAGGATTTCTTTATATATTCCTCTGTAGATGGATCTTTGCAAATCAGATATCCCCCACCACAATCAGTGAGTTACCTCTCTAAAGGACTTATGTCGCTTGCACTAAAAAATATCATATTTCAGCTCAAAAGAGCACCAAGTTTGATTTATCACTATCGCTGTAGTTTGAGTTACCAACTGTCGAGACTGAAAATGTGTTACCTTCTTTGTTGTGTTATTGAGAACCAACATAAGTCTGGCCGTCTCACAACGCAGAAGTTTGGTTGTATATTCGTTCAGTAAGTGATGACATACAGTCGTTTTATGTACAGATTGTAATACTAACTACACATGTGATAAGGATTGTATTCCAGACTGACGCACTCCGAATCTTCGCCATACTGGTGGCAACTCTGGAAAAGATAGATTTTGGTCGTGAGGCCAGTGACCCAATCCTGTGACAAAACGCACAAGCGCTACTGCAACTCCACATTTCAAGCTCGACGCTCCACTTGAAACGCGTTTGAATAACAAATGTTACCAGGGGAAGTATCGGAATAAGATGGAGGTTATTGACAGGATCACTAATCGTGAAATGTTCATTTAAATTTGAGTGTAGGAATGATTATTCATCGAGAAAGTCGTGCAGTTAAGGTCAATTTTCAAAAACTAAGATTTCTTATCCCACGAAAACAGGCTGCTTAGTCCACACTAGGAGCTATGCATTTTGCAGGGCTTACTTTTAATAAATATTTGCAGAAGTTTTGTCCTTACTAATCAGCTGAAAAGTATATAAAGTTGTTTTGAATATGAAACAAAAGGTGACAATCTTTTGCGGCAAACTTGCTGATTGCAGTGTTCGACGTTGCCTATTTTCATGTGCGCGTGCTCGCTCACCGAGCAATCTATAGGCTGATTGTATCTAGGGCTAATTGAAATTCGTCGTATACCGCAAGTGTAGGACAGTCCTTTCCTTTGCAAACGCGATTACTGTGAATTTGGTTTTTTAATCTGGGATTTTCGTATCTATGTACTCCAGGAAATGTCGCCTGGGAGATAAAACTAAGCTATTGCGCTCTGCTGTTAAAGGTTCGCTAATGACTGCTCTTCAGACTAACAAAAAGATGGTGACTCCATGTGATGAGTACTGTGTGCGAGGCACTGCAGTATTTCAAAGTAGCATTTTGACCATGAGTAAACCAGTCGGTGTCACAGGTTGATTTACTTCCTTAAGTAAGTGTATAATCTGAATTATTTTCCCGGCTTGTCTTGTTACCAAACTCTGTTTTGGCATGTGATACTCTTCTTTAGGGCTAACCCCAATAATGCTTATTCAGATCTACTCAGTAGTTGCTTCATAACCATTTCCAGGAAAAAAGTTCATGTTTATAATGCGTAATTCTTGAATAAACGCAAATACCCATTTAGATGACTGCCATTTTGTCTTTCTTCTGCATTGTAGGGAACCCCCAGTCCTGCAATAACACCTTCAAATTAGTCGTTATATTAACTGACACGTCCCTCTGAAGGCGTACCTGCTGCGGGCTGATTGTTAGAGTCATTTTACAGACATCAACTTCTGGTCATAAACTGATTTCAATCTGTACATTACAGACGTGTTTATGATGTTAATTCTTTTCAAACCAGTGTTATCCTTCATTATATAAATTTTCCTTTTCTCTGCCGAGCTTTTTAGCTGAGGGGAGAATAAAAGGTCAAATCTTGACAACAGGTGTCAAGACAAAATTTGAGATAACATGTAATATTAGAGGTTGTCAATTGAGTTGAAGATTGAACGATCAATTCATGGTTGTTTGCTCAAAACCAACTTCCCCAATTTTCGCGGAGGCATCAATACGACAGTCATCGTCTCATCGGTCGCTGTTCAGAAAGAAGAGTGAAACATCGTCAGAAACCTTAGTTCGCTTATTCTTTTTATATGTTGGTGTAACAATAAAGAAATATCAAACGGCAGATCGGTGTTTTGGTTTTTTCGTCCGTTATAACTAAGCGTTTCTGAAATCTTCGAAGAACAGCGTGGGCCCGAGCGTAGCGAGAGCTGGGCATTAACGGTTTATGAGACGTGATTGACAGTTTCTGACGATGGAAACAGATTTTGGCGGATTCAAACAGTTGGTGAAAGTTTGGATAGTCGCCGTTCATTTCTCCTGGTGCCGGTCAAGTCCTCTTTGAACAAGCAATATCTGGAACTTTTTTGGAATTGGGTCAAGTTCAACAATGCCTGGGTCAAAGAAGGGACAGAGTGTCTTGGATGCAAACAGGAAAGTAAGTCATGGTGACTTGTGTGTTAATTGTAACGATGTGTCTGATGTTAAGCATGACATGGTTGATGTTACTGTTTTGCCGTTCAGGGATAATAGGAACATCAAACTCCCTAAATTTTAACCACGGTGTTTTGATGGAAACCCGGCTGATTATTTACAATTTGTAAAGGAGTTTGAGATCATGTTGAGTGGTTTTTTATTAAATGATGAATTGAAGTTAATGTATTTGATGAGATATTGCACTGGAGATGCTTCAAGAGCTATACAGTGCTGTAAGTTTATGAAGCCAAAAGAGGGCTACTACGAGGCTATGAGCATACTACGTCAAAGGTTTGGAAGACCTTCGATGATTGCAGGGAAATTATTCGAGGCTGTTAAGGGTAATGGTGGTCAATTACAGGATGACTCCCAGGCACTCACTGAGTTTCTGGGTAATTTGCTGATTTACAAGAATGCATTGATTTCTATGAATTGCATGAATGACCTCAACTCGAGTTTTATACTAGAAGTAATAGCAAGACGTCCACCTACTCGACTGCAAAGGAAGTGGGTGAAGATGAGCTCCCGTATGGAGGATGAGGGTATCGAGCCGAAATTTGATGATATCCTGAAACTGGTAAATACTAGTGTCAATCAATCTATGAGCAAGTTCGCCAGTCTATTACATCTCACCCCTAGAATAGAGCAGTCTGAGTGTAAAACGCAATCATTGATGACGAATAGGCCTCAGAGAGGTGGATATCGAGAAGGCTCCATGACGTCTAGTAATGCATATAAACTTAGTGAGTGCAACAGGTTTCGTAGTACATCCTCAACAGATGAGTTGCAAGC